TGTAGAAATCGCCTTCACGTATTATATATAAGGATAGATTTATCGTAGATGTCAGCTGATAAGTTTCATTAAAAAAGGTTCAACCTTTTTTTATTTTTTTAAATATATTTTTAACAGTATGCGAAGATTTTCCCTGTGACGCTCACGATGAGAGAAAAAAGGTTTTAAAGGAACATGCTTGCCTATTAATATATGGATAGAGCTACAAAACAAGATATATAGATGGATAATATATAGATAGAGACACAAAGATACTGGGCATTACAATAATTTGAACACATTAATCAGTAATATGTTACCCCTCAGGGGGTAGACCTAAGCTGGATTTTCTTACGCGCGGAAGCGGAGAGCGGAGAGAGGAACGCGGAGAGCGGAAAAGAAATTAAAATGGCATTCTGCTCCGCTTCTAGGATAACAGTAACATTAAATTACCTAAGACAAGTGGAGTCCGCTCTCCGCTCCCGTTCCTTGGAAAACCCGGCTCTACATACATACTATGTTTACATTTAAGATTTTCTTCTGACTCCTAGCAGGTCGTTCCCCTGAGGAGGTAGCTTATCATTAAATAATGTGTTCAAATGATCTCAATGCCCAGTAGCCTGACCCAGGCTTAGCAAGACTTTTTTACACCATGTATAGATATTGCCCATGTTACTTATTTGTACTAGCTTCAGTGAATTTATTTGGGATTGATTGCAGAAAACAGATGATGCCAGAAAAGTACGAGCTTATACAGAAAGAGTTTTCAGGGGAAGGAAGTTTGAAAAGATTTATGAAATATGCCAAGAATCCTGGGCGCCCGATTTCACTTTGGTTCCAAAATCAGAAGAAAAGGCTTTATTAGAAAAAGCAGAAGCGTCAGTATATCTTAATAAGAAAACTGTCCCACAAACAATTTCCTTTCCACCACTGTTAAAGGTAAGTCTATAGAAAGATTAAATGAAATACTATTTCTAATGTTATCAACACACTGTGTTGTTAAGAAAAACATCAATAGCGTATATCATGTTACACAGTTTCATAATATATAAGTAGCCAGCTTAAATTCTTACTGAAAATGGTGTAAGCACCTGGTTCTGGTAAACTCCTATTTTGCCATCAGCCACTAGTTTCGCCTCTAAATCTGAGCCATCTTTAGGCATCCTCCACTGAAGACTATCAAATAGGATTTACATGAACACTTTGAATCGGCAGAAGTTTAGTCTATACTGGGTTACAATTCAAATCGTTGATTTTATTATTATAACTAAACATAGTTGTTGTTTACTTATGGATATATATCTTGATAGTGGTTTCTGGATGAACTGTTCAGTAACGAATCTTAAATATTTCTATTGATTGATAAACTCAAGTAGGTAGTTAATCAATTTATTTATTTAATCGTAGGAACTAATAATCCAAGACAGAAAGGCAAGGGGACTTCCTGTTGATGAGGAACCTCGCATGAAGCTGGTGATTCGGGAGGAAGAGGACCAGTTATACAGAATAACACAGGATGGCGAAGCTCCGTCAGTGAACTACGACGGAGGGAAAGGCACACCTAAGACACCCCAACTATACGAGATACCTCAACTTTTCAAAGAGAAGCTTAATTTGTCTTGAACATTGTTGCATTGTGCTATTAGTTATTTTCTATATTTTGTTTTGAAATAAATTTTGTTTGAAAATATTTTCAGTGGTTTTTTAAATACCAAAGTATAACACTGTATGTACTGGTCATCTAAATGAAAGGGACTTTACAGTATTTCCGTGTGATATGACTGTACGTAGTGCGTATCACACTTTTACCACCGACTTACTTGGAAGATATGTGCCAAGATTTTGGTATCTACACTTGACTGTACATTTGTCTTGTTATAGCATGCTGTACACTAAACGTTCCTCAACTCCTGATACCTGCATATATCTCTGCTTCCCGTCGTCATGGTTATCAGTCATAACTGGTTTAGATAGGATAATCAGAACTCTGATGATTTAGGATATGGAAGTCATACATATTAGTTTACGGGCATTCTAAGTCAAGGGCCTCAAAAATGATGTAGTTAAAAAAGTTTAATTTTTTCATCCACCAAATTGAAATCGACAATGACACAATTTTACTTAGATCATAATATGGACTATGTATTTTGGCACAAGAAGAAGTAAGTGCCTCCTCCTCTTTCGAGCTACGATTTGGTCAAAACATCATTACTAAAACAAACTGCACAGTGTGTCAATACACTCTTAAATTGTGAGATGATTAAGTGCATTCAAGTTTACTTAGACATCACAACCCAAGGTTTACAACTACAGTATATAGAATTATAGATGTATGACAAAGGAAATTGAAAAGTCAGAGATTTGTTCTAAATGTTAACTAACTAACTGGTGTAAGTTAGTTTTGTCTACACACCTTTCACTGATAATGGGAATTTATTGCAAATAATGTATAAAATAATGCATCTAAGGAAGAGCTTAACAATATTAATTGGTGTGAATTTTCAAGAATAATGTTTTTATACATTACATATAAACTGAAACTGACGTGGTAAGGACAATTTACTTCCTTCCTGTTTCATAAAAAAAAAATATTATTATTTTGATTGCGATGCAAACAGTTCTATCCAAATAAAAGCAATTAAAATTACCATCCACTACCTATTTGTTTTAGAAATGTGTACGCTGTACGGTAACAGTATATTTTCATAACAAGAATAGAAAGTGAGTTATTACATATTATTTGAGACCATGTTTGAAGTGCTATTAACTAGTATCGAGCACTTTTAATGGTTGAGAATATAGACCCACTCGTGTTTTGAACGTTAATTTTCGCTTCACTACAAAGCCAAATATTTTCTTAATTAAAACAGACATTGAATATTTCTTGAATATTACAGTTAGGAGCATTACAAAACTCATAGCATTTTCAGGTTATTCTTTTAATTTAAATTAATATTAATATAACATACGGTTTTGGTTGTCGGAAATTAAAACGGTTGACAAAACAATAACAAATTTTTTTTTTTAACGTCGGCAAAATCCAAAAAAGATAGTCGACATTACTTTTGCATAGTAAACATTCGTTTTCCTTACAAATCAATGTGATGATGAATTTTTGCAGGTGATAAACATGACATCTTTTTAAACATCAGAAAACAGGTAATTTCACAGTAGTGTAGCAAAAATACATTTCTTGAACATGAGAAATCCAATTTAGTTAGAATTAAACTTGTTGGATCAAAGATTAAATCATAAAAAATAAGGATGGGGGGGTCATTTATAGGGAATAAATCATAAACTGGATTATTCTGTTTCAGTTAAAAAGATTTTATAAAATAAAAATATGATAAAAATGCTTAATTTATTGATTTTACTACAAATATTTAATTCTAACAACAAATAATTAAAAATCCATACTATAGTTATTTGTGTAACTATAGTTCGGCCGCTTAGAAAGCGACCTCCTCCAGCATTAATTTAGCATTAGCGCGCTGGTCGTTTTCTAAGCGGCCAAACTATAGTGAGCAAAGTGGCACTTTGCTGCACACAAGAGCAACTTTTACGGAATGATCTTGAGTGCAGCAAAGGCCTTTTGCACTCGTGTTACACATTATATTTTTCCTACAGTCACTATAAAGCAAATAAATAATTAGTTTTTCAAACACTATACAACACTTTTTTAGGTTAAGCTGGCAACACAAATAGGTGCCCAATAGAAAGTAGTCCCCGGTCCGAATCACTCCGCTATTTGTTCCTCGACAAGCAATGTGCTCCGCGACTTGAGAAAATAGTTCCGTATATTTTTGTAATTTGCAGTGGTTACCGCGCCTAAAAAAATGCTTTAAAGGTATTTTCTTGTTTATTAAGATCGTAGGAATGTTTTAATAACGTTTAAAAGAAAAGTCCAGAAAGTAAGTGATGCCAACCCATTTCCAAGCGTTCACAGATTAAGTGCATAATAGAACCACACTGTTTTGTGTTGTTTCGTTGGAATCCTGATGTGCGCCAAAGTATAAACCGTACGATAAAGTATAAATATGCAGCAATTAGCAGCTTTCTGTAATCTGTACTATAAACAGTACAAGGAAGCCAACTTTGTCAGGTGACTGTAGGAAAAAGAATTTACTACACTTACACTTAGTCCTGAACATTGAATGCAACAAAGGCACTGGTTAACTAAATTGAGTTTTATAAAAACAATTTATTTACATTACAATATTTTTTTGAGATGTTGGCGTTTTGCTTATAAAAATAATAAATATGTTTTTACAAACTAACGACATATAAAAATGGTAGCTTGGCTACACTGATATCATGTGTGTTTAGTTTCAATTCAAAACTCAAATGATTATCCTGTTGGACTAGTCACAATGAATACATAAATCATTCGTTATGACATATTACAGTCTCTGATGACTTAATTCCAATTTATCATAGAATGGTTCAAGTTACGTCCAGAAAGATAAATAATGTGTAACGCTGAATTTGTCTTCAAGACCTTTACAATAAATAATAATAGAGCTGTTTGTATAACTAATTTATAACATACATTTCAAAATTAACAAAACTAACCTAATTAAAAAAAAAAAAAAAAATTTTTATAATATACATTTTTAACTTAAAAACTATCCTAATAAAAATAGATTACAATTAAAGTCCAACCAAGGTTGTTGGCAGCAGTAAAACTCAGTATTGTTCCCAAAAAATGTCGATCCAAAGGTCCACTATTGGTATCTATCTATAGGTATCTATTGGTTTCATGATAAATCAAAGTATTTTTATTATGATCATCTTTCTAGGACCAGACATAGAATGAGTCAAATTCCAATGCTCAAGCCCACCAACCTGCAAGACATTTTTATGACAAAACAGTATGTTATGTATCTTAAGATTTTTTCCTGGCTGCTCATTGCTAGAAACCAGTTCCTTTCAGCCAGCTGCAATACATTGGTATTCATTTCAAGCTTGCATATGAATTAAGAAAGTTTATTACACTATACATACAAGCATCCCGTGTTGTCTTCACCTGCAGGTGTAATGTAAAGTAATCAAAATCAGAAATATAGGTCTAACTCCACAGATTGGCGTTTTTCCAAGATCCATTTCTTATTTTGTTATGAGGATGACATTTTACATCACTTATTCATCATGGACACTCTTGGTGCGGGCATGAAGCCGGGCCGCTTGGTAGGAGGAAGAGTCCGGTTCGGTTGCAACGTGTTGTGATTTCCACTAGCGGTTGCTCGATAACTGCTTGAGCCAGAGCCACTAGAGGGGTTAGCCCTACTGTTGCTAGCACCTCTAACATTCTTAGATTTCGTTGTTTTCCATTTCTTCTTGCGTGGATTAAACTTTCTATTCCTGAAACAGTTTCTGAGTTAAATATACTGTGGCAAACTTTGATCTAAATAAAAATAAACGGTATAAGCAATCTGACACATACTTTCTCCCGTTAGCTTGTAAAAATCCTTCATCATTTTATGGGGAAAATCACAAAAGTTGCAATAACTTTTGAACCGTAATTTTTACAGCAAAGGGTGTCTTTTCCCTATTTTGTTTAGAATTATAAGGGCCATAAATTACTAATTTTAATCAAAACCGGTAAAAAAAAATCTGATTATGGGAAAATAATATAGGTTATAATATCTTTAGAATTAGAACCCTAATTTTTACAACAATGGGAGTTATACCATTTTGTTCAGAATTCAAAGGGCTATAACATGCAAAAAATTTATCAAAATGGTTTAGGCCATTTCCGAGAAAATTCTATCTTTCTGTTATTTTATGGGTTTTATGGAAAAATCTCCATCAAAAATGCCTGGAGATGCAATGGATTAATACCTAAATACAAAATTTCATAAAAATCGAACTTATAGGTGTGGTCTGTAGCTCTACAAACATCCACACACACACACACGGATATCACTTCGAAAACCACTTTTTTCCACATAAAAAAAAGTGTATACCACTCAATCCACTCAAACTCAAAAATTTTGAGGAAAACAATTTTTCTGAATATACTATGGTATAGGGGAGAACTCAAATCACTGTGTATACAAAAATAGTTCTTTTTCAACTACAGCTGAGCTTTACAAAAATCGTCTGTTTCCAATCCCTCCAAAGATGATGTTGCCTGTCATAAACATAAGTTTTCATGCTCCAAAAAATACTTTGCCTGTACAAAACAGACTTTTTCATGTCTCAAACCGAAACCAACAATCTTCCCCATTTAGCTTAACAGAGCACTAATCTATGTATTCTTTTGAAACAAGAAATATCGTTCTACAGTAGACTCCCTCTTAAGAATCCGGACTTCTCGGGACCGAGGCCAGTCCGGATAACGGTTTTTCCGGTTAAACCGACGTCCTCAAAAACTTGTTAAGTAACCCAAATATTTGACTTAAATTTAGGAGAGAATTGTATTTAGACATGTGATCACTGGTCTCAAATCTTTCCCACGAGAACAGTCGTTTCAGTACTACCCACTTCCTGCCGATCTAGTCCGGTTAAACCGATGTCCGGTTAAAAGGTGTCCGGATAAGAGGGAGTCTACTGTAACAGCTAACTTCAAAATAAATAGCAAAACTTACTATTGAAAGTGTACTATTTAAAGAGTAGTTTTAAAGAGTACTAGGTTATGGAATAATGTTTTTTTATTATTAATCACCAAGAAGCTTTGTGTGATTATTTTCATTGTGATGGAAAGTATTGTCACTACTCGACATTATTTTCCATTCCGGGGCTCGAAAGTTATTTCTTGCGCTCTGCTTTTCCTCACTCGTAAACCACTATCTTGCCATAAATGGGTTACTTTCAGGACGAGTAGTGAAATAAACTATTAAAGTTAGGTAATAATGCAATTACTTTTCAACACTGGCTTCAAAAGGAGACATTCTTATATATTCTAACCTCATTGCAAATAATGCTGCATCTATTGGTCCAGCAAAACAACATAAGCATCACATTTACTATTATTAATAAATTAAAGTATGATTTCTTTCAAAAGGTCAAAATTGGCAGCATTATAGGTCCACATTCTAGGGTTTTGTTTTAGCACTTTCAATGAACAAAAAAACGCTGTGTTTGAATCTGCTAGTGTCTACACCAGAATATAGAAGCGCTGCGTTCACTGGCTGGCGGGCTAGGCCAGACTTGTGGAAAGGGAAGAACTGACTTCACTACACAGTTGCTAACTACTGATTATATGAACAAGTGAAATGTTAACTTTAGAAAAACTACAGCGGAGCTCAGGGAAATTGCAGGTAAATCCCCAAAGATATACCTGCAAAGGCAGAATTCAACTTCTAAATTTTGACAAAAGCGTTTTTAATAGAGTGGTGTTGTATGTATTTTAAGGGAAGGTGAAATAGAAATAAATCATTCAGACACGTATCACTGATACAAAACTTTTGGGTACTGAAGTAGGCTACACATCCCATCCATATGGATTTTTAATTCAAATACAACATAGTGAAATGAGCTGTTTACAGCAAATGCTACAGTCTACATTTTGTTTTCTGCCTAAGTTTTTGTTACTGAGATAGTTGATGTGAAATAAAAGATGCTACAGCTTACAAAAAGTTGTCCAATCAGTTTGACTTAAAAAGGTGGACAAATTCAACTGAAACTAGTAGTTTCAGCACACTTTGTTGGTGGGCTTGATTCAAAAACTGGTGACAGCATAGGAATGGAAAGTCAAACTACCAATTCTCAAGACTGACACTTACTTCATCTTGGCGGCATATGGAGCAATGTAGGATCCTGCCGGAGAGTCTTCTGTAGAGGATTTTCTTCGTTTTGAAGGGCCGTTGTGTGGCCTGAAGGACGTAGGAGACAAAGATCTCTTCTTCTTTGGTTCGACAAAATCTATAAAATATCCATGATTAATTTTTACCTAGTTTTTACTTTAAAAAGGTATACTAGGGAGGAGCTAGCACAGCTCATTGTCTAATTAATCTTAAAAACAGGATTTTTTGAGAGGATAGCAGGCTTACCTGAATGGGAAAGAGTCCAAACTGGCACAGGAAACACAAAACATAACTTTACACTATATACACAAAACATTAGAATATTTCACTGTCACTGACAGCATTTTCAACTAAGGAAGAGAGAGTTTTTTAGATGTCCAAAATGGTGGCCAGTGAGTTGTTGAGTCAGTGTTGCCAATAGTAGAATTCAAAAAACACATTTTCAGTTTATCTTATATGCACTATATATATATGAATAAATATGTAAGCCTGCTAGTTGGGTTGGATTTTGAAGTGGAGTGGGTTAGATGAAAGGTATTATCTAAGGTTTAGGTTTGGGGGTTGTCTAGACTTAGTAAACCATTGGTAGGACAGTTCCCATCTTCTAAGTTGTGACTGGTTACATTGAGGAGGTAGTGATTTGACTATTTTGGTTGTAAAGCAGTCATTGAAACTAGGGTTGTTGTGGCTCTGGGCATGTTGTACAACTGGTTTGTCTTTGTATCCAGTAGATACATCTTGTCTATGGCCATTCATCCTGGTTCTGAGGATGAAACCAAAATCTCCAATCTCTCTTGGTCTTTGTGTTGGTGTTTGAGTAAGATAGAAAGATGCCTTCAGGACCTAACAGTGTTAGCTTGAGGGTAAATTGCTGCCAGTGCTAATCCTGCTATGATATCTGAAGTCTCAGGAAAAATAGGTCTATGCCTACAGGGGTTTTAAACTAATTTATTATTATTTTTTAAATAAAACTCCAAACCTTTAGTGTTTAGTTACTTAATAAAGACTGCTTTCTGACAATTTAAATTGGTCTATTCTGATAGGTACTTCTATAATCTAAAAATATGAAAGGTTGGCAGGAACAACATCAAATTTAACTCTATCCAATGGTGTGCATTAATTGGAATTTGCTATTTAACAAACTAGTCAAGTTACCTATATGGCATTTAAAATTAATGCAGTCAAAAATGTATAAAGTTAAGGAATGCAAATGAAATAAACTCACAAACTAAAACCACCTTCAATTTACAACAATAACTACAATAATTGTTCTTATACTCACTTAGCTTATTTCTCTCCTCCGCATATTTGCTTGTGATTTTAAGCAAATCTTTGCCATATTTTTCATAGTTAGCATGTGTCACACCGATAATCTTCAACATTTCCTCTCTGGTTTCAGGTAATTTCAGAGACATTCCTTTTAGAGACTGAAATTAAAAAAGAAAATAAAATAACCATGCTTTCATTAACTATCAACATTGGTTTTGAATATTATTGAAGATCCCCATCTTATAGTAAAATCTGGAACATTTTTATGAGTCTGACTACGTTTGGGTATGCTGATGTCAACTGGCTGTTTTTCTTTTATTTTTCTGTAAATTTTACATAGGCTTGATACAATTTACACTTAGGTTATAATACCTGAAGACAAGTTAGTTACAGTAACTTATTAATTAGTATATCATCTATTGAATTGGTTAGAACTTTCTTAATGTTGATAAAATTAAAATAGTGAGAAAGAAATAATAAATATCAAAACACAGTCGGTTCAAACCAGAACAAATCATACCTCAAAGTTGTTTTCAGCTAATCTACAAGCATGACTATTCTTAAAGGGAGTATACAAGTAAGTAAATAACACATCTTACAAAACAATTTTTTTTGTATTTTAGTTGTCGAGTTAATAATTGAACAAAATTAGAGAGTTAAATAGTCGTCAGAAGATAGCCATGTCGTTGAACCATTGACGATACAACCTGGCCTTTTGGAAGTATTGCAGCAATCCATCTGCGGGCGAGCTACTATTCAACTGAGTTAATTCTTCCAAAACAAAAACGTTAGCCACTGTTTTTACCAATTCAATGACACAGTCATCTCCTGAAGATGACCCAACAGTCTCAGGTTGGATGTACATGATGCCTGTACCTGTATGTTCATGATGGTGTTTGTGTTGACTCCGCTGACCTCTGCGATGGCCGTTACGACATCCATCAGCTCACTGAAGCACTGCTCATGTATCGCATCCATCTCACTCATAGCCTCATTGCCCTCCGCTGGGTTCACAACTGAACTCTTCCTGGCAAGCTTGCGTATGGAGAACTCAACCTGCAAGCATTCACTCATTGACAAATAAAATAACACTCTTTCACCTGCAATATGTCCTGAGGATCAATTGCCTCACTCGAGAGAAATCCTTACTCACGAGCCATAGGCCAGTGAGGAATGGTTTCTCGAGTGAGGCAATTGCACTTAGCACTCGAGTTGTACATTATATTTTTCCTACGGTTCCCATAAAACAAATAAATTGGTAAAGAAAGGTAACATATTTTTACACAGAAGTGAACTTTTAATATGACATTTAATGTGATGACAAATACAACAGTACAACAGCTGACCAGCTGATTTACAGCCAGTGCTGCCAACGTATTTCGCGCGCATACAACCTTGTCTGCATGTTACGCGCTCACTATTTCGTGCCTTCACGTTGCAAATCTGGAGTGAGACAAAGTAATTAGAGTGTTTAATTAGAGTAATTAGAGAGTAATTAGTGTTAACATTGTCTCACTGATGAGCGAATTGGCCACTTTGCTTTCTCAAATCAGTTAGGTAACTGTAGGAAAAAATAATAACACATCAAACGCACACTGCCACTGTCTATTACTCAGAGATTGACAGTCGCAACTCTCCTTTCAAAAAGCACCGTATTTATGTCTGAATGGGGTCTGGTCAACCAAGCAATGGAATAATGCAATAAAAAATAAAGTAAGTGAAAGAATAGCCTAATGAACTAGACTATCGTTCTTTAGTGTGCTAAAAGTAGGCACTGCTTACTCATCCTGATAGTTTGCAGAAAATAAGGTTCACCTCAGTGACCTAAATATACTACAGGCTTAACAGGGTGTCTACTACATTCTGGATAAAAATTTCATGGACAATTCCCGTACATTTAAGGACACTTTTCTGTAACCTTTGTCGGTGTCATTAGGCCTACCGAATAATTTTCCTGATTTGTCAAACTGTATTAATCTTGTTATTCACTGTAGTTGTACCAGAGAGAAAAGTAAATAGGCCCTAATAATAGATAAAGAGTTAAAAAATACAAAATAGAAATTTATTGAAAGTAAACAAACATAGGCCTACCTATACTTTAGGTAGGTAAAGCTTTTATAGTGTAACAGAGAAACGCAATCATTGTCTCCTGCGATAACGACAAATATCTCCATCCGTCACGTAAACTTCATAACATAGCTTATCCGATCCAGGCGGATTAATTTGGCATGATTCGCCCTGGCACAACGTTAGGTTCTCGACTACTTTTGAGAAAAAATCTTTAATGCATATTGTTACTCAATTCTTAGTACAAAATCAAGCGGCTATTAATAAGCAATAAGCACAGAGTAAGATTATTGTATTTTCATTTGTAAAGTTAATATCGACACATATCAATCATTAGTTCAATTGCTGTATCTTATAGGCTCAATTACATTTTCTTAATATATTTTAAAGCTCTTTCAAGAATCAAAATACCCAGGCCTACACCTAATTATTTAGGAGGGCCTATATAAACTGAGTAACAAACAATGAAGTTATAATAGCAGCAAAGTTACTATCATCATTCTAGTTCACATAAGATTTTGATTGCTTAAAGCATACAACTCAATAAATAAATATATGGGAAACAAAAAACACTGAAACCTGAATAGCCAACAATATAAGACAAAGATACAGAAAATGCAATGACATAATTTGAAACCAAGCAGGCCTACATTCCTACATAGTGATAAAACATTAATGCAAACAACAATGCTTGTGGTTTTGTCAATTGAAAGATAAAATGTCCATAAAAAAGGGGTTAACTTACAAATTAAGACTGTAGATTATTTAGGTACATGTTTAATATGAAACCATAAACAGTTTTATGGCACTAGGCACTGGCCGCGGCATATTGAATCTTCAAGCCGAAAGTACAAGTAAGAAGTGAAATTTAACAGCCATTATAAAGCTATTATTTTCACGATAAAATAGGTTTGGGATCTAATAATAATTACCCTAGTAATAAAAAAAGAAGTTGTAAAGGAATAAAAGTGATACAACTTTTATGAGCTAGCTGCTGAGTCAACAGTTCTTGGAAGTACTTGACTTGACACTTGATTGTCGTGATAAAATATTAATGGGTTTGAGATTGTTAATGGGATTTTTATTGCATAATTACTCTAGTAATAAATTATGAAAATGTAAACAAACATCTGATAAACCTTTTATGTGCTCCTAACCAACTAGCGATCAATAAAATTATGGCCCATTAAAAATTTAAGGACATTGTCTGGCATTTAAGGACAATTCCCGTACATTTCATGGCCAGTAAAAATTTAAGTACAATTCCCGGTTTTCCCGGATTTCCCGGTTGGTAGACACCCTGCTTAATGTTACAACTAGGACCATGCACGCAATCTTGCCTTTGCAACGACCAATTTCAGATTATTTGGTTATTGTCTTAAAAGAAATAATTTCTACCGAATCTATTTAATTTAGTCCTAAAAGTTTTTGTTTTATTCAAAACTACTTACCGTACTTTAAATTCAATTTGTGCCAAAATATATACTGGGATTCTAATGTATAGATACACTATGGAAGAATTACCTATCATATATCTATTACAATAGTATGAGAGTAAATACCTTGTCTCGGCCGTTAGCAAGGCTCTCAGCTCTCTGGCCCAGTCTGATGTAGGAGTTGGTGTTGTCATACTTGGTGACATGGTACTCCTCCAACACTCTGTCCATCACCAGCTTGTTGATCAGTCTGCAGATATCTACCTTGTCCCAAACACTGAGACTGCCAAACGCATCCAAGGTGTCATGTCCTAAAACATAAAACAGCTCTCAGCTTACATGACCACGAGCTACTACCTGTAAAATACAATAAAATACATTTCACCAGTCAAAAGAACTGATTTTACCCAGAAAATATTGTTCGTTGTCATGTCTGCTCTCGTGGTCTTTCTACATTGTCTCCCAGCATTGTTTTAGTGATTGCGTTAAAATCTTGAAAACCTTCCGCAGTCTTGCAGAAATGATCATTGTCTCTCACGGTCATGGAAACTCGTCATCCTTTTCCGCGATTAAGGCAACATCTTTTACAGTTTTGTGGATATTATCATCGTCTCCCGCAGTCATGGAAACATCGTCATAGTTTTCCGTAGTAGCGGCAAAATCATGAATAATTTTTGCGGTTGGGTAGACAAGATCATGGTCTCCCGTAATGTAATTTTTTTGCGAATAATTAATATCATCTTCAGTCTTGTAGACCTAATTTTCGTCTCCCGCGGTCACGTAAAATCTTAATCGTCCTTCGCAATGGCGGCGAAAGCATGATTTTTTTCTTTCGAAATCTTTGCAGACGCGTTTTGTGATTAAGATAGTAATAGCTCGGCTTTACTCGGTTTCTTTTTTGTAAAATACCCCAAATTTGGGTAGAAATCCAGTTATCAAAATTTTTGTCAATTCAAAAAGGTTAAAAGATTTTCAAATCAATTCGGATACGTAAACAACTGCTGAAGTGAGCACAACGGGATAAAAGACATTTTATTCTGTAAAAAAGCTGATAATTTTTATACAATCTCTACCTTACACTTACCATTATCCACCACCTTCTTGCAACGACTGCCCTTACAGACATCCACCAGGTGGTTGATGGTGAAGTTATCCCACTGAGACTTGTTACAGATCTGAGCCACCATCATCACAATGGCTCTGCACACTTCTGTCACATCCTCCACTCTGTAACTCTCCTGTAACAACAAAGACTTGTTACAGATCTCAGCCACCATCATCACAATGGCTCTGCACACTTCTGTCACATCCTCCACTCTGTAACTCTCCTGTAACAACAAAGACTTGTTACAGATCTCAGCCACCATCATCACAATGGCTCTGCACACTTCTGTCACATCCTCCACTCTGTAACTCTCCTGTAACAACAAAGACTTGTTACAGATCTGAGCCACCAACATTTCAATGGCTCTGCACACTTCTGTCACATCCTCCACTCTGTAACTCTCCTGTAACAACAAAGACTTGTTACAGATCTGAGCCACCATCATCACAATGGCTCTGCACACTTCTGTCACATCTTCCACTCTGTAACTCTCCTGTAACAACAAAGACTTGTTACAGATCTGAGCCACCATCATCACAATGGCTCTGCACACTTCTGTCACATCTTCCACTCTGTAACTCTCCTGTAACAACAAAGACTTGTTACAGATCTGAGCCACCATCATCACAATGGCTCTGCACACTTCTGTCACATCTTCCACTCTGTAACTCTCCTGTAACAACAAAGACTTGTTACAGATCTGAGCCACCATCATCACAATGGCTCTGCACACTTCTGTCACATCCTCCACTCTGTAACTCTCCTGTAACAACAAAGACTTGTTACAGATCTGAGCCACCATCATCACAATGGCTCTGCACACCTCTGTCACATCCTCCACTCTGTAACTCTCCTGTAACAACAAAGACTTGTTACAGATCTGAGCCACCATCATCACAATGGCTCTGCACACTTCTGTCACATCTTCCACTCTGTAACTCTCCTGTAACAACAAAGACTTGTTACAGATCTGAGCCACCATCATCACAATGGCTCTGCACACTTCTGTCACATCTTCCACTCTGTAACTCTCCTGTAACAACAAAGACTTGTTACAGATCTGAGCCACCATCATCACAATGGCTCTGCACACCTCTGTCACATCCTCCACTCTGTAACTCTCCTGTAACAACAAAGACTTGTTACAGATCTGAGCCACCATCACCTCAATGGCTCGACACACATCCGTCACATCCTCACATTTTGTGAACTATAAAACAAAAAACTTCATTATGAATAAACCCATAAGAAATTTTGGCTAATTGCAATACTTTATAGTTCTAATAAAACACATTTGTACCCTGACAAACAGTCAAACAAAATCATCACTTGAAATAAGTGCTATACATCTTAGCAACTTTTGTTTGGAATACTCAAGCTTTGCGTTTGCAATGGGTTGAGGACACAGTTTAATAAAATTTGGTTCATAAATTTACGGTATAGTATAGTATAACACATCTAACATTGCCATAATGTTCTACCACTGCACCTAAACAATAGAAAAAAATAAATTATCAAACATTCGCACAATATCATAAATTATTCATTAAATTAAAAACACAAACCAAACTGTAAACAATACTACTTTGACAGTTCTCATTGTGCTCTTTTCTATGATTCTATGCAGTTCTCTTTTTAATGCTATTGCATATTATAGAACCAACGTGTAAAGTTGAAACAGCTGACTAAATTCTTTAATTCCCTTTAAATATGAATACTCATAATGTTAACATGGGGTACTAAAGAGCCACTGGGGCGGAGCCCGAAAGGATTTTTGAGATAAGAACATGCCTAAATGTTAATTGGGAATGTGAGCTATCATCATGCCAAATTTCAGCCCAATCCGTCCAGTAGTTTATGCGTGATTGAGCAACACACACAAACTCACAAACTTTCAGATTTATAATATTAGTAAGATTCTGTAAATAGACCTAAAAACATGAATAATTGAGACCTGGCAGAGACAATTGTCGCAGGCGAGTAACGGATTGTTCGGACAGCGACCTTTGAAGTTCTCTCCAAAGTAGTGCAGCTGAATAGTTCTCCGACAGTCGCTCTTGTTCTCGCAGTACTCTACCATTCGTCGTAGATTGTCTCTGTGAGTGTCCTTCGAGGACTTTGTTCCTTCAGAGTCCACTGTCAAAATATTACAGACTAAGTCTACAGCATAAGTTTACTCCATAACATGATGTTAAACCTCCTACTGATGAGCTAAAAGTGGTTTTCAGTAGCTTGAAACCCCGTTAAAGATTTTACAAATTTCAAAAACACACTTTCAAAATTGTTTATTGATGGTACCGTTTACTTTTAGATACCATAGTAGACATCCCATCTATATGGACTAGCTGTAGCTTTTTTTACTAAAAAAGAAGTAAGAACATAGTTGAATGTGCCACTCTTAGAGTGTGCTACAGTCTAAAGTTAAATTTTATCTTTTTTTTGTTACTGAGATAGACGGTTGATGTGGCATAAAAGTTGCCAAAGCTTTTTGTCCTATTCACGAGTTAAGTCGGTCAATAAGTTGGTGTATTTGACTTACAGTAACATCAGCACACTCCTGTGGCTTCATTTAGATTCCAAACAGTAACTTATACTTGAGGATGAAATGTCTAGTTCTGTCAATGGTCAAATATTGGTATGTACCAATAAAGCAAAAGGTTTAGATTCAATTAAAAACAAGTGTAAAAAAATAAATTATGTTGTTGTAAAATCAAATTTAGCTCTATAATCTACTGTAAGTAAGGGCTGCTTCATTTTGGTTGTGGATCGAGCTAACACACCAAGTAATGAATGTAAAAGGCACTGTTAACTGTATGACTCGATTCCTGACTTTCAGTCCCTCAGCCACACGAGTACGACTGATTTGGAACCTGTCCCCACTCGGAATCGTAGGAAACGCATAGATGAGAAAACAATTTAACAAAATCCACTCCTTAATGGGCAGCTGTATTTTAGCTACTGTTGGATTGCAGATTAAGGTCTCGTGCCGATAGACAAGGTTTCAGATTACAATTATATTATTTTGTTAATTTACTTTTCATTATGGAGTGCCTATATTATCCAAGCTTGATATTAAGGTTTGATGACTCACTATCTATCATTTTACGCAGCTTGCACACGTCCGCCACACTGTAGTACAGTATACAGACAGCTGTGTCTCCGTCTCGGCCAGCTCGCCCCGCCTCCTGGTAGTAGCCCTCTATACTCTTGGCCATGGTGTAGTGGACCACGAACCTCACGTCTGGCTTGTCTATACCCATACCAAACGCTATGGTAGCCACCACTACCTACAACATTAGACACACTGTAGTACAGTATACAGACAGCTGTGTCTCCGTCTCGGCCAGCTCGCCCCGCCTCCTGGTAGTAGCCCTCTATACTCTTGGCCATGGTGTAGTGGACCACGAACCTCACGTCTGGCTTGTCTATACCCATACCAAACGCTATGGTAGCCACCACTACCTACAACATTAGACACACTGTAGTACAGTATACAGACAGCTGTGTCTCCGTCTCGGCCAGCTCGCCCCGCCTCCTGGTAGTAGCCCTCTATACTCTTGGCCATGGTGTAGTGGACCACGAACCTCACGTCTGGCTTGTCTATACCCATACCAAACGCTATGGTAGCCACCACTACCTACAACATTAGACACACTGTAGTTCAGTATACAGACAGCTGTGTCTCCGTCTCGGCCAGCTCGCCCCGCCTCCTGGTAGTAGCCCTCTATACTCTTGGCCATGGTGTAGTGGACCACGAACCTCACGTCTGGCTTGTCTATACCCATACCAAACGCTATGGTAGCCACCACTACCTACAACATTAGACACACTGTAGTACAGTATACAGACAGCTGTGTCTCCGTCTCGGCCAGCTCGCCCCGCCTCCTGGTAGTAGCCCTCTATACTCTTGGCCATGGTGTAGTGGACCACGAACCTCACGTCTGGCTTGTCTATACCCATACCAAACGCTATGGTAGCCACCACTACCTACAACATTAGACACACTGTAGTTCAGTATACAGACAGCTGTGTCTCCATCTCGGCCAGCTCGCCCTGCCTCCTGGTAGTAGCCTTCTATACTCTTGGCCATGGTGTAGTGGACCACGAACCTCACGTCTGGTTTGTCTATACCCATACCAAACGCTATGGTAGCCACCACTACCTACAACATTAGACACACTGTAGTTCAGTATACAGACAGCTGTGTTTCCGTCTCGGCCAGCTCGCCCCGCCTCCTGGTAGTAGCCATCTATACTCTTGGCCATGGTGCAGTGGACCACAAACCTCACGTCTGGCTTGTCTATACCCATACAAACGCTATGGTAGCCACCACTACCTACAGCATTAGACACATGGTAGAAATATTGAGCTGATAAGCCACACATTGCTGGTTTGGGACTAGCTTGTCTGTGTGACTTACACTCTCACTGTACTTTTCTGTCTTTTATCACTATTCAAACCAAGTAGTCTGTGGTAACAGTCAGTTTAATTTTCTTATTTTTATTAGAGTAAAACCAATACTATTTTAAATAAAAAAGTCAGGCCATTTTGGATCACCTATTTTTTTATTTAGCAGATTGTTAGATCCAACAGGTTATTTCAAAGTGGTTTCAGTTTAGCGGGGAGCAGTTAAAAAGTGGTTTACCGTAATAAATAAAAATTATTTGTATCCAACGACATGCTGGAAGTAGAATAGGATAATGTTAAGGTGTATCCCTATGAACATATCCTTGATCAGCCACATGGTTTGTCATTAAATAAAATACACTAAGTATAACTAACACACATAAACACACTGAAAGTACATAACAATATGTCTAATAACCCTTAAACAGTTCTTTACTTATACTTTTACACATACAATGTTGATCAAGAAGTTATTTATATAAACACAGACCTGCAACTTCCCATGACAAACCCAAATAGGAACACACTGGACAACCTTAAACTAGTAATCAGCAAAACAAAAGGAGATGTATCAACAAATGCATATTGTACAAATTTACCTTAATCTTATTGAGTACCCAGTCAGTCTGTACTTTAGCTCTTTGCTTGTCGCTGAGCCCAGCGTGATAACAATCTGCCTGTATACCAGCGGCCTGAAGAGCACGAGCCGTCGTCTCACACTCCTACATGACATACAAACTGGTATAGTACAAGCCAGGGGACATGTGTAAAACTAATGTAACACTAAAACATTTTGAATATTTAACTTAGTTTTCTTAAGATATCTTAGAGTAATAAAAAGAAAACTATGAGGGGGAAAACACATCCTATGTCACAATAAAAATAACTTCATTTATAAAACATATTTTGTCAGTTACAGTCCTGGTTTTCTTCCATTTGTGGTCAATCTTGCCTCACAGACTCCTGGCAGATAATTAATTTTATCATCCTCAATATAACTTTTGAACTTAAATCTAGTAAAAAATCCATACTTCATGTTACTAACACAATTACAACAATTGACAGCTAAACTACAAAAAACTAAATTTGAAAATACCTATACAACTCTTCTATGACACATCCTCCAAATTGGATGATCCAATAATGAAGGATGGGATGAAAAACACTGAAGAAAATGTGTTGTAATTTTGACCTAGTAGTGATCTTCCATAATATTAATATTTTTGTAGCAAGATGCTCTAAAAATAAATTTGTATACATTTATAAAGTATTTGAGTTGGTTGTAACTGGAAACATTGAATATTCTATATTAAAGAGGATCAGATATAATTGTCGGATAAGAGTTGACACCAACCTTACGAGAGAAACCATACACGATTCCGGATTTCCTTAGGTATTGTTTTTTGATGAAGGAAATAATCTCTTCCAGAGTGTTCTTGGTCTTGTAGCGGACACTGTAGGCAAGGTTAGGTCTGTCAAAGCTGCAGACAAACCTGTAATACACAGCATTGGTAAGTTTACACAATAAATGTACAACTCACTCAGGAGAAAATTTGTGCAGTATCATGCAAAACTGAATTCAAGCGTTCAGTTAGGCCAGGTTTAAAAAGTATAAGACATTCTGAAACATTTAGTGAATACAGGGAAAAGATTTTTATCTGGATCAGTGCTTTAGCTGTCACAGAGTAGGCAGTGTAAATTGCTTAGAGAGCCACTGACTGACCGACAAACACAAAAAAGTATATTTTAATTTGTATGGGTTTCTCTAGTCCTGATACTGACCACTTGGTATTAGTCATGTGTAACTGGTGGAGGATGTCCTTCCTGACTCTGAGAGTGGCTGTGGCTGTCAGAGCCATCATGGGCACCCCAGGGAACTGTTCACGCAACTGACTTAGTCGCTTGTAGTCCTTCCTACACAGTACACAGTTAACAAATATGTCTCTCATAGTGTTGGTCATGTGTAGGCTATGTGTAACTGATGGAGGCTGTATATTTTTACTTACTATTATTTTATTGTATTTACTCAGAACTGTTTTCTTTTACAAACAGCTGACAAAGTTTACTAACGTAACAAATTTACAACTGATCTCTTCAACTCCAGCTGATCATTTTTCACTCTAAGAATGGTAATAACTACTTTAGCCCCGTGCAAGTCTGTAACGTATGGGTTAAGGAGAGTTTTTCTAATCATTTATGGGATTATTGCATTTAAATCACAATTATTTGTAGTAAAAGGTTACAGGAATTTTTAGGATTTGGCATCTGATCTCATCCTTGTGTATGACAGTAAACCAGAGTCCTGCTAATCAGAACTAAGTGGCACTGGACTCTGTTTGGACTAACCCATTGAGTGCCGCTGTGTCATGCCTATTTCTTATGCATAAATTGCTGAGCTAATTTCAAAGGAAAATGCAGTATTTTATATTAAATGTCATATGAAACACAATTTTAGATGTATCCATGTAATTTATTTTATTTTGATTATGAATAAATTCTTTATGAAATGATAAGACATAAAAAAATTTCAAAATAAATTGAAATCAAATTTTTTTTACATTTTTTCAATATGTTGTTTTGTGTTTGAGTAATACATAAAATATATTATTTATTTATATATTACTTTATGCGCACAATTTATGCGTAAGCACATTGCGTCCCTATGAGAGACGCTGCGGCACTCAAAGGGTAAAAAAATTGTTTGGATTAGCGAAAAATGCAGTCAAATTGCATTAAAACACTAATACAGCGTTTTTGTTTGCTTCTTTTTTATTGTAAATTACTCCCACAATCACGCCAGCACTGTGATCATCTTCCGCAAAAAAGACAACAACAACGAGATCATTTCCCACCATCATGGTGAAATAATCAGGGCTACACCGTCTTCCATGATTGCGGAAATATCCGTATTTATTTACCATGATCGCAGCAACACCTGTGATCGATGATCATCTCCTACAATCACGCTCTTGTTACTAAACAATGACCTTAAAATAATATCAACTAAACACCGTTAATGAATGGCCACTCGACCACAGGCTATTGGTGATTGTATCAAATCAAACTATTCCACATTAAATGCACACACAATTCACAGACTTTAGCCTGTTCATAAAAATTAAAGTGCAGTTCCTAGATTTCTCGGTTTCCTAATAGGATGTACACCTTGGTTGGTATTTCAGAACACATAGCTTTGTTTTTAATTTAAATACAGTAACATGTTCTCTTTGACAGGTGATTCGGATTAGCCAGACTCTGGTGTACCAACATAACATAACATGACTTGCCTCCTGATTAGGTACTTTCTCAACTATGATATCAGATTCCACAATCTTCAAATAAATAATATAACCTTAGTCACTAAAAAGACTACAAGATCGCGCCACTCATCATACACTCATCTCCATTCATACTTGGCTTAAAATACCTACTTTGTATGGTCGCTATTTCAAAGAAAAGTATTAAGTATTAAAGTATTAAGTAACAGATTCCACAGTTCTCAAATAAATAACATAACCTACACACAATTAACTCAGCACAGCTGTTTTGTGGCAGTACTGACCTGAAGTCATGTCCCCACTGAGACACGCAATGAGCCTCATCAATGACAAACCTCGCCAACAATCCTCTGTTGAACAGCCCTTGTAGGATACCGACCAGCCGCTGCGACGCAACTATCTTCTCCGGCGTAACAAATAACAGATGGAAATCTAATAAATTTGAAAACAAATATATTAGAAATTTGTAAGAAATTTTAAAAACTCAACCCGTTTAGTGCTATGGCTCTCTACCGAATGCTGTATTGATTTTTATCAGACAAGAGATGGTTAAGTCACTTTGATACACACATTATGTAGATAAACGTTAGTTGAACTACAAATTAAATAAAAACCCTTATGTTGTCTTCCTTATGAATCCTAAGACAATTTTGGAATGTGTTTCTGCTTGGTACACATGCATTGCATTTTGATATTCAGTATTCATTGATTGTTATCTAATCAATATTGTACCCTAACCAAATATATTCTTGGTTGCCCTTCTGTGTAGTAGCCAAAGAGTAAAACACCTGTAGAATTTAATCTAAATTAAAGAGACAATTCCACAACTAAGCTATCTAAGCTTTATTTAAAGTGTACTTGTACTTACCAGGTCCGTTGACCCTAACCAGCTCACTATAGATCCTGTTCGTCTCAGTCTGTGTGTTATCTCCCATCAGACAAGCAGCAGGTATCTGCAATATTGACATTGAAAAGAAATATTGAAAATGTCTACAAAAATAAATTAAATAACATTAATATATCATCATGAAAACATCTCAAACAAAGTAAGCTAATTAACAATTTGATCATATTAGGTTAGGAGATTGTAGGGCAACTTACGTCCAAACTCTTGAGTTTGTTGACTTGGTCCAGTATAAGTGAGCGGAGAGGGCTGATCACTACAGTGAGACCCCTCTGCAACAGAGCGGGCAACTGGTAACACACGCTCTTGCCTCCCCCAGTCGGCATCAGCACGAAGCAGTCGTGCCCCAACATGGCGGCGTTCAGTGCTTCACGCTGCTTCATGCGGAACTTGGCTAGCCCAAACTGCTGTCTGAACACCTGCAGCAAAATAATAATAGAAAACACTCGTTCACTTAAACTTGTTTCTTACATTTTACAATTGGAATAATTTTGACTACACTAAGGTCAAAATTGTAATTGTTATGTCAAAATACCAATCTATAAAAAACAAAAAGCATAAAGTGACAGAATTAAGTAAAATTAACTCCCCTCTTCACAATGAGTACAAGACAGTTGACATCCCTCATGACGATAAGCATGATGTTTTCAGTAATTTTAATATTAATAAGATCTCCAAAAAGACCTGAACTGCATGCACGTTGAATGTGGAATGCCGTATAATTTTTCATTTTGTATGGACCAGCTGAAGAAAATTTTGTATTCACATAAATCGTAATTTAATGAGCCCCTCAAAAATGTTTTACTGCCAAAATTATATTTCCTATTATATGTTTACATTTTTTAATAATACAATTGGCTAATGTGATGTACTACAGTTTAAAAGCTATACTACATGTGTCTATGGCAGAAATCCGCAGAAGTTAGCAACACACTAAATTCAACTATATTCATTTTTGGCAAAGATGCTAACTTCTTTTAAAATCTTATCTTTTCTTACTAATATTACAAATGCGAAAGTTTGTTTGTTTGTTTGTTTGAAGTTCAATACCGCACTAACTACTGGTCGGATTGAGCTGAAATTTGGTAAGATGATAGCAATATTGGATGGTGAAGTTTCAGTCAGAACACATTGTGTTATCATCAGCTGAGTACTTTTGCTTGTGATGTAACGGTCAAAAATAGACATTTTTTGACCTTATACAGAATAAAATACATATTAAAAGGAGAGAAGGTTATTTTTATTTATTTATTGGAATTATCGAAGTAGTGACAAAAGAAACTAGACTGGGCAGGGTAAACGTTGACCCCTCCTCACTCCAAGACGATTCTCGTAGCGATCGCTGCCTTGCCAGGCGCTAGTGTCGGGCCTCCAGCAGAATGGGGGAAGCCAAGAGCGAGTGGCAACAAACAGTTCAGTTGGTCAGTCTCGTCCTAGCCAGTAGCCACCAGCAGGTCACAACCTCTCCGGTGAGTGTAGTATACCATTTGGTTACACGTTAGTAATACCATAGCTACACTTTACCGCTCTCACGTTAGCTTAGACGTTCGACAGTGTAACATATATTCGTTGCTTTAAGTATTATTTTGTTATTTGTTAATTAAAAGAAGAATATACTTTCGTTTGCATTTTAGTTTTGCATAGAGGTTATTTGCAGTTTAAATTGTGTTGGGAACCAGGGTCACTCCTCTGACACCCAGGGTCATTGTGTCGACTTTATTTGTCGTTAGCTATCGAGCAACTATCACTAAACGTTAACTCTTTAAGTTTTAATCGTTTGGGAACCAGGGTCGCTCCCCTGACACCCAGAAGGTAGGAGTTGGTGATGATGAGCCTTACAGAATAAATCTTGAGAGTTTCGAGACTGGACAGAGTTCTGAGCCTTCTCCTACAAACAAAACTCTTGCGACCGTGTTTGAGTTTTGTTCGACCGTACAAAAACAAATCTCAACTGACCCCTGGAAAATTGGGAACCCGCGCAGACTGAACTATTTTCGGCATCGATTTCAATTCCGAACACCCCACCGAAAACACGGTCACAGAGAAGTGATGTATTCCACCAGATGGCTTCTTCATTGTTCAATAAACTAACATAAATCACAAAAACAACACAACACATAAACATTTAAAACACTTATAGAGACATTGCAGGCCTACATGGACAAACATACAGTCGCGCCGTGGGTCAGGACAGACTGGCTATTTGCTTATCAGTGTTATCACGGAGACAGTGGACAGCTGTTTCTTTGATGGGAATGAGAAAATTGAGTATTGAATTGGAGCTGAAATTTATATTTTGTTTGGAATAACTTTGTTTGTGTCAGTATTTTTATGAGCTCTGTAGATTTCATATTCTTCAAAACTAAATTTCAGCTCCAATTCAAAATTCAATTTTCTCATTCCCACTAATGAAAAAGCTGTCCACTGCCTCCGTGATAACACTGATAAGCCTGGATGAGGAAATAGTCAGTCTGTCCCCGACCCGCGGCGCCGCTGTATGTTCGTCCATGCAGGCCTGCAATGTATCTAAACGTGTTTTAAATGTATATGTGTCGTGTCTTTTTCGTGATTTATGTTAATTTATTGAACAATGACAAAGCCATCTATCTGGTAGAATACATCACTTTACAAGCAAAAGTACTCAGCTGATGACGACACAATGTGTTGAAATGTGTTCCGACTGAAAATTTACCATCCAATATTGAGCTATTTGACGTAAGTAATTTATTCTTACAATTTAAATATAGGCCTATTTATAATGCTTTTTACAGTGACACATTCAGAGGATAAATAAAGCGGACTGACTAGTAGATGTAAATTTATTAAAAAAAGACAAATAAAAAACAAATTAAATTAAAATTAAAGTTAAATCTATGAAATAATGAATGGTCCCTTAAAACTTCTGAAGAAGTTGTAGCAAACAAGAGGTGTACATAAAAAAAATTGAAAACAGCAGCAAAACATGGGAGCACAATTTTAAAAACATCCAATGAGAAAACAATGCAGGAAACGGTGGTGGACAATAAAGAAGAAGAATAAACATTAAGTCAATTTTGTTTATTGCTCTCCAAAAGAGACATGGTAAAAATAAAAATAATATAGTAGTTAACGTAGTATACTAACTTACTACGTTACTACCATTGACTTTTATATATTATTAGTCAAAGGTACTACTCTATTATCTCAACCCCCGTATTAAACCAACTGGCAACAAATTAACTAAACAAAATAGATGCAGATTGTAACGATAAGATTTAAGTACAAGTATCCACCACTGTGACGCAGAGTTGTGCTGCTCGTGCTGCAGCATGGCCTGTTTTTCTAGTGGGGCATTGGTTCTACCAAACTATGTTTTATCTATGGTTCTACTGACCCCTGTCTTGTGCCTTGCTTGTAGTCAGTTGAAACAAACAGCAGTTCTATTATTTGTTTATAACAACTAATATAATGGAAATAAAATGTCTCAAGGTTTATTCAAACATATGTTTATACTCATATCCTTATGTGAATTAATTTCTGTACTGTTTACAAATGTTTAAACAAGCTGATGTTTTAAAAAAAAATGTAAATAACAATAAAAGAATAAACATTACCTAAGACATTAAAATAAATACAATCTGAAAAAGGTACACTAAAACTACAAATGTCAGATTTATATATACAGTTTTTATATGATGTGATGAAGGGAATCACCCACTATTGCACACTTTTTATAATTTTCTACTTGATTTTGTATTTCTTGCTCTGCATAGGAAACGATCTACTTGCAATGAGGATAATGGAGATGAGAAGACTACAGACACATTCAGAGGAAAATCAACAAGAAGAGAACTCTGACAAGGATGACTGAAACTGGTTTTGGATTTTGATTTGAAATGGAACATTTCAAACTCAAATTTAATTCAGGTCGACAAATTAAATTAAGTGATATGTTGCTAATTTAGGAGGAGTAGAAATACAGACAATTTTATTCATTTTGGATTTGAAAGACTACATTCAGTTTTAACTGGACTGGATGGGTTAAGTTTCATAGATTAAGGACCAAACACAAATACAGTACTAGCAAATCTTATTTGTTTTTTTACATTAAGTCCTTCCCCCCCTTTTATCCAAATGAGTTCACTAATTATCATAAATGTAAGCATAGGTCGACATACACATCAAACTAAAGGTCTTTATTAGTAGAATATAATATTATGGCGCAAATTTGAACTCAAAAATCTTCGAACGGCTACCATTTTTGACTCAGTTGTATGAGTTCAAATTTGCGGCATTGTATTTTACAAGTAAAGGCCCTTTAATTTGGTGTACATATCAACCTATGCTTACACTTTTTCTTCTGAGTCCTAGAGGGCTGTCCCTCTGAGGGGGTAGCGTATCACTGATTGTGTTTAAACTATTTTAATGCCCAGTAACTTTGTACCAAAGTTTGTAAGCTATATATTGATTTTTTTATATTTAACTGTCCCGGGACTTTTTTCCACCCTGTAAATTCCATTCCACATTCACCGTGCAATAGAAAAAGGCCATTAGCCATGTATTTTAAATAACAGTTTTGGCAAAACTTGCTGTCCTGAAACATCAGAACCGTCTAAATGCATTTTTTCAGTTTTTACTTTATTCTTAAGTGCTTACGACTAATTTTAACTGTACTAAGGTAACAATTCAAATCACCTATAATACAAATTTATTCTAATAAGAAACATAAATTTACAGGAATAAATAAAATATACTTTAGTGCCTTTATGAGTGTCACAAGGACAGTTCACAAAACCCGCATGACAACAAGAACAAACACAATGTTTCCAGTAATGTAGATAGCACAACTATTTATCTGAACAGTGAACACCTAAGAGAGATTGTATTGGTGAATGTGGTTTTGAGTATATCAGTTGCACTACATTACCCTCAACATCTCCTGGTAGTGTGGAAAGTTTGTGTGGTTGAACTCAGCGGAGTCGTCTTTGATCTCCGGCTGCTGTTGAGGAGACTCTCTGATGCTAGGAAGAGAGGTTCTGTTGGTTTGGAAGTACTCTGATTTATCTGTATGAATTAAACATACCTCATAATGTCTGTCACATTTTGAGAATTCTAAAATTTCAAAAATATTTTAAGAAAAAATATTTTTTTATACATCAATTTTTTTACTTAACTAGCAACCTGTGTCACTTTGTGACTTAAAATCCGTAAGTTCATACAGAAGAGAGAACCAACCGTTGGTGGATCAGATAACCGATTTGTTCGGATTTTCAAACGTAGCCTAGAAATGCCTAATAGACACATAATTAGGCCTACAGTATTAAAAATACAGTTCTAGGATACAGTTAATGAAATAAAAATAATGATTTTTTTACTTAGGTATTTTTGTTATATAACTGTAATTCGTTTCTTGAAAAAAATATGTAGAGCTTATACATATTTGATTTCACCTAATCACTTTATTAAAAATCTAACTAACTTCCAAAAAAAGACTGGTGCAATGGTTGAGGTAGTAAGTTATCATCAGAACTCCAAAAGGTTACTGTGGAGTGGGATGCCTCATCATTTTTTTGTCAACCGATTACGCAATATAATTGCTATCCAAGAATTGCAGGAGACATCTGTTTTTGGTTCATCGCTGTCGTCAATGGAAGATTTCAACACAGTCTCTAGTGTCACCTCGCCTCTGAGTGAGCAACCCTTGTCAAGCCAGTCCCCGACCATCGAGACCAACAGGCCTAGTGAGCAGCAGACCAGTCCACCACCTCATCTAGTACCTGGCCATTGCAGTTACGCAGAATGTGTCTCCCTCAACACTAGTGCGGATGTCAGTGTCAGTGAAAAGCAGAGTAAAAGTGATGTGTCTGTGAGTGAAGTCAGTTCAGGAGTGATTTCAGGTAACATGGTTGTTCCTTCCTCTTCTTTTTTACAAATAATACAACAAATACCAAAGAATGTATAGCCTTAACTAAGAATGTGTACAGCTCTTCACAACACAGTTCTCGGAACCCTTCAAGCCACAAACCTAAACCAAACTTTGACTCCTCCAAAAACAAAATAACAATATTTCACCAAAATATAGAACATCTGGAATCTCGTAAAAATGGATTAGAAATTATTATTGACGAAATAAATCCACACTTATTAGTAATAACAGAGCATAATATGAAGGATTATGAAATTCAAAAATTCAATATTGATGGTTACACTCTTAAGCATTATTTTTGTAGAAGCAATTTTACAAAAGGAGGTGTGGCATTGATGGCTAAAAATAATTTAAATAATCTAAAAATTAAGAAAATTTCAACCTCTATAATACAGGAAACATGTGAGGAGATGGTTTTTGAGTGTTGTGCGGTGAAGTGCTGTACCAACAATTATCAGTTTGTACTATTAGGAGTTTATCGTTCCCCAAGCGCAAGCAGTAAACTATTTTTAGATAAACTTAGTTTTGTGATTGACAGGCTCTTAGGAATTTGTAAAAATATAATTGTAGCTGGGGACATTAATATAAATGTACTGGATAAAAATCACACATATAAACAGTTTTCAAACATGCTAAAAAGCCACAGCATGAGATATTTGGTGGACTTTCCCACAAGAGTTGTTAAAAATTCCAAATCCTCTATTGATAATTTTTTAACTAACATTACTGATGTACAGATGTATGTATATGGTTTAATTACTTGTTTGTCAGACCATGATGGTCAGGTACTTGAGATGAATATTACCCTTGATCATAACAAAAAAAAATCCATAGTAAAAACTTGTAGAAATCTTGGCCAAGAAAACATCAATTTGTTTAAATCAAAACTGAAAGATGAGAATTGGATGGAAATTTACATGTCTCCTATTGAATATAAGTACTCTAAGTTCCATCAGAAATTTTTTTATTATTTTAATGAGTGTTTTCCACAAATTACTGTTAGAACAGGCTCCAAAAAGAATTGCTGGATGAATACTAGGTTAAGAGAAGAGAGGGAAACTATTGTTAGGCTAAGTAAGTGTGCAAGAAATCAAGACAAAGAGTGCAAAGAGCTTAAAATTCGTCAAAGAAAATTTAAATTTGATCTTTTCAAAACAAAAAAAGAATATTATAACAAAAAAATTAAACATTCATCAAACATTTCAAAAACAACATGGTCAATTATTAACAAGGAAGTCTTTAACGGCAAAAAACAAAAAGAACAGGAAAATATGTCATTAAAAGTTAACAATAAGATAGTTAACAATCCAAAAGAAATAACAAATAATTTTAACTCATTTTTTACAAAATCCTCTACGTTACATACAAAATTTTGTAATACTACATCAGACACCTCTTCAAAAAATATATGGCATACAAAATTGTATTTCGAACCAGTAACTGATACCGAAATAATAACTATTATACAATCTTTAAAAAATAAAACAACATCTGGCTATGACAATTTATCAGTAAAAATGTTAAAAGAGGTAAAAGATGAGATTAAATTAATTTTAATGCACCTAATTAACTCACCATTTGTAACAGGAATTTTTCCAAATGAGCTTAAAATTGCTAGAGTGGTACCTGTTTATAAGAAAAACTCTAAGAAAGATATTTCAAACTACAGGCCAGTGTCAATTCTCCCGGCAATATCAAAGGTATATGAGAAGGCAGTGTACAACAGGTTGAACAGTTTCTTGAACCAATATGATCTAATTGATAATGAACAACATGGTTTCCGTGCTGGTAGATCGACAGTTACATCAGCGGTTAATTTTGTTGAAGCCGTGATAAATTCACTAGATAAGGGTTTAAATTCAGCTGGCATCTTCATGGACATGTCCCAGGCATTTGATAATGTAGACCACCATCAATTAATAGCTAAACTTGATAATTTGGGTATTAAAGGAGTCACTCTCAAATGGTTTAAATCATACTTAGAGGAACGTTACCAATTTGTGGAAATATCAACTTTGTCAAAAAATAACATCATCCAAAAAACAAGATCTAATTTATCAAAGATATCATCTGGTGTCCCACAGGGATCGATTCTTGGTCCTCTTTTATTCATATGTTACCTTAAAAATCTTCCAAATTCTCTAAAAGACCCAGGTAGTAAGATAAGTATATATGCAGATGATATTAATCTTAACACAACTGGGAAATCCCTAACTGATTTAGAAATGTCTGCTAAATCAGAATTAAAAAGTCTGAATCAGTTTTTAAAAGACCATAATTTAGTACTTAATACTAGTAAAACTAATTTCATTCTTTTCAAAACGAAAAGAGACAAAAATGATCAAAGTATTAAGTTAGATATAGATACAAATTCCATGGCTCAAGTTAAAACCTCAAAACTATTGGGTTTGATAATAGATGAGGATTTAAGCTGGAATAAACATGTCGAGTATTTAATAAAAAAACTAAATTCTGGTATATTCGTCCTAAGAACAATGTCATATCTCTGTTAAGGATCAGTACTTAAAATGATATATCATGCTCATATTGAATCACATATTAACTATGGAATTAGTATTTATGGTGGGACAAAGAAAAAGAATTTAAAAAAGATTTTGAAAATACAAAAAAAAAGCTATCAGGATAATACATAAATTAAAATACAACCAGTCCGTAAAATCTTATTTTAAAGGGATGGGCATTTTTACAGTTCACGCCTTATATATTTTTGAAACAATTAAATATTTTTTAAATATTGCTGAGACTCAAGAATTGCCTGTGCATAATTATAATACAAGGGGTAAAAATTATTTAGCTAAAGAAAAACCAAGACTTGAACTTTTTAAAAATAAACCTTCTTATATTGGAAACTATTTTTTTAGAAAACTTCCTAGCTTTTTAAAAAAAGAAAAAGACAAATCTAAATTTATGAAAAATCTGAAGGCATTCTTACTTGACCTTGCACCTTACAAAATAGAAGATTATAGTAATTTCAATTTAAAATAATGTAGCCTATAGTATTTTGTTTAAATGTTTCTTATTGCTAATTTAGGTAGTAAGTAACAATAGACAATAGACACTATTCATGTACGAAAATTTGTACTGTGTGAATAAAGACTCTTTGAATCTTGAATCTTGAATCTACATTGGAAAGGAACAAAACACAGATTGGCTCGGCGCATTCACTCATTTCCCTGCCCAGCACCCACTGTTTGGCCCGCAAAATTCTAAAACACCGGTGTCTCCGGTGCTAATTCAATATTTTTAAACTCTCAGGAGCCGTTTGGATTTTTGACGTTTCAGATTTTTGACGTTCGGATTTTCGACTCTCTACTTTGATTAATGATTAATTCTCATCATATGCCTTTTATTTGCATTGCGAGTGTGATCCCTTCGAGGTATCTTAGAAAAATAACTAATACTAATGAAACACACTATGAAAAGTCTAACGTAAGTCATTTTCTTCTTTAAATTTTAAACAATTAACACTACAATACTTTACTTGAATTCCCTAAAACAATAAAATAATATAATTTTCGTATGGATGTAAACAAAATTGTATCATGGCCATCTGTTTTGGTGTAAACAAATGTTAACTTAAAAAAGTTCAGATGATAGACAACAGAATTCAGTACAAACTATGAAATGTTAAAAGCCTATAGGACGAAGAGATTTTACGGGATATCATGCAAACCCTCAAAGGGCACATCTAGAAGATAAGAGCTTTATATTGATACCCAATATGCCTATGAAAATAAATATTTAGGGGTCGATTTGCTGCACACAAAAATCCAACAAATTATTTTAATAATATAGATACTATTATTATTAACACTAACCCTGGACTTACTCAAAATTAGATCAGCTATCCGAGGACGACTGTACAATTTTGTCCCCAAGGGCAAAATTGCACCGTCACAATTCTTATTCTTTAATTCTTTAATTATTTTTAACTCAATATGGAAAAATGCTCATGTAAGTAATAAATTTATATGTTAAAATTATATAGTCTGTAATGTATCCATTTACTAAAACCCATTAAAAATTGCAATGTTCCGGATAGCTCGACAACCTCTAGGCCACAAATTGGTGAGTTAGTGAGGTTTACTGTACGTACAAGCGTGTTTAAATTTGTTGTCAGTAAAATTCCTAACTGCTTTTATATCCTTTCATTGGCTTTGGCTCGTTCGTTAAACTTGAGCTTGTGTAAAAAACACTGTATACCCTACAAATATACTGTTTATATATTCAGGGTTCAATCGATTTTGTGATTACTTACTCGCTGATGAAGTAGAAGCCTCCAAGTGAGTGATCGACTCCAGGAATTGATCACAGTCCAAGTCTGGACCCCAGTCAGGTCCCCAGTCCACATCTGTTACATTAGATGTTTTTTTTTGACTAAAGGAACTTACAAATGCAAAACTTCCATATCACTCAACTAATTTATATTTAAAACATACACATAATGTAGGTAATCAAATAACAAATAACTTAATAAACCTAAAAGATTCACCTTAAGTTTTGTTATGAAACTCATTGGACACAAACTAAAAAGCCAAAGGCAATTCACTTATTACACAGGTTTGTTGAAACTGGATTATTTAATGTTGAGTGCGTTTTATAGGATTGTAACTCTAGTCTCTACCAATCAATGAATACCTATTGAATTTCAAAATGTAAAGACCAATACAACTCAAAATAAACAGTATCAGCAATCTGACACATACTATCTTTTAGCTTGTCAACAATATAGATATACCTATACTATAGATAGTACCATATTTCATCAAAATCGGACCACAGGTGTGGTCTGTAGCTCTGTACACATCCACACATACAGACAGACATCACTTCGAAAACCATGTTTTCAGGGGGGGGGGGGCCAAAACTGATATATCCACTCACAACTCAAATTCGAAAATTTTGACAAAAACAATACTTTCTCCATATAGGCCTACTGGATAAAGTACTAAAAATGTACTTATAGGGGGAGAAAGTAATAATTATTTGTGTAAACATTAAATAAGTTCTGCTGTTTAGGTTCAAAATGGCAGTATATAAAGTATTTAAACTGAAATAACAGAAAATGCAGCTAAAATTATCAGAAAATGTGAAAGGTTTTATTTCAAACTATTTACAGTAGACTCCCTCTTATCCGGACACCTTTTAACCGGACATCGGTTTAACCGGACTACACTCGGCGGAAATGACATCTCGATCTGTTTAACTGGACAATTTTTATCAGCACATTGGTTTAACCGGACTAGATGAGCAGGAAGTGGGCGGTACTGAAACAACTGTTCTCGTGGGAAAGATTTGAGACCAGTGAACACGTGTCTAAATACAATCCTCTCCTAAATTTCAGTCAAATACTGTACACAGTATGCATTTAAACGGTCCGTTTTGAGTTTTTGGGGGCGCCGGTTTACCTGGAAAAACCATTATCCGGACTGGCCTCGGTCCCGAGGAGTCCGGATAAGAGGGAGTCTATGTATTCAATCTAATCATACAAAAAATAAAGAGAGCCGGACAGGAAAAAAGCTTGTTATTATTGAGTGTTATAAAATGTAGTTTACACCATACACACATTTTCAATACTTTGATAAATAATGTTGAGTTACTGTAGTCTAAATTTTACCAGTTCAGATAACATAGTAAGTTATTAGGCCACAAATCTCTTTTGGGCGTTAGCACAGAGGATGGATGTAGAATGGTATGAGATGATCTGTGCAGCTTTGTTACTGACTATGAAGTCCCCGATAATGATAATGTCTTAATTTGTAAGCACTTACTGTTGTCATCATTTTGCGGTCTTGGAGAGGAAAAATTAGAAGCCCCTTCATTATCCACAAACGGAGGAATGTATCCTGCAAAAACACCAAAATAATCCGTTAAATTATTATTTTTGATAAATATTTTGAATGATAAGGTGTAATGACTATTTTCTTCTTACTACCTGACGCAGTTAGGTACCACAACACCAAAGCCATGAAGCAATGAACTACGTACTTCACAAGAAAATAAACAATTAGGCCTAACATTTTTTAATTAATTTAAAATCCAGCAGTTCTGATCATAATGTGAAATGTTATGTCTTATGTACTTACTACTATTATCATCATTTTGTTGTCTAGGAGAGGAAAAATTACAGAATTCTTCATTATCTTCTAATGATGGCATGTACTCTGGAAAAATACAAAATGATAAATCTTTTTTAAAAAATCATACTAATATTATGCCTAATTGTGAAAGTTTGTGTATTTGTTTGTTTGTTAGAAGTTCAATCGGGTATTAACTACTGGTCGGATTGGGTTGATGTTTGGTATGGTGATAGCTCACATTCCCAATTAACATATAGACATATTTTTATCTCAAAAATCCTTTTGGGCTCTGCCCCAGTGGCTCTTGAGTTTCCCATGTTACCCTTATGAGTATTCACATTTAAAAGAATTAAAGAATTTTGTCAGCTGTTTCAACTACCTACACAAGTTGGTTCTATGATATTCAATAGCATTAAAACGTTATAAGGTTACAGGGCAAACAGGGTGCAGCACTATAATTTTTGTGCAATTATGACAACAGCTAATTTAAACCAATCAGCAACAAAAAATTGTGAGAACTTTACTTTTTTCTATTGTTTAGGTGCGGTGGTAGAACATTATGGCTACGGTAGATGTGCTATACTATAGTATACCGTAAATTAAAACTGTGTCCTCTCCCATTGCAAACGCAACTGTTGTTATTAGTGTGGCGTTGGAACATTGTTCTACAAGGCTTAGTGTTAAAGGAGACTATGATATCAGATAAATATACCTAAAGTTCAGATTGTTCATCTTTATCATCTTATCATTGCGTATCCAACTTCCTTGTTATCTGACCAGTGTCAAGAGATCGCACACTATGTCTGTGTGGTATGCCTGCAAACCTTGGCGAGTACGTCGTGACAACTACAGTGAGCGCAAGCAGTCTGGGCGCGCGGTTCCGTCTCTACTAGCCATCCTGTGTACATTTCACCCACCCCCCTCCTAGCAGTGAAGACAGCTGAACAAACCCAGAGCCGTGTGGGCCAGATGTTTTTGGAAATTAGCAATAAACACTCCCCCCTACACCCTGTGCTCTATTGCGGCCACTCGCCCAGACTAAATGCGACTACTACTACTGTACATTGGTACTGGGAAGATAAGTTTTCGTCTTTTGCTCATGAATTTACTTTCTGACTGTTTTAGCATGATGCAGTTTGTAAACTCCTCATATCTGCAAACTTGTATACCACACCTAAAGTCTTAGTTGTAGACTTTAATATCTGAAATATCTTGAATATGTTTTTCAGCCAAAGAAATAATTAGACCAAAAACAATCTAGGGTTAAAATTATCCTAAGTAAAGAATTGGTTTACACACGTAAAGAGCTTTTAAAGAGAAAAGTTGTTAAGCCTCTCCTAGCATTGACTAAACAACAAGGATGGTTAACAAGGATGGTTATTTAGAGAATACAATCCATCCTTATTCCATTAAAAAACTTTAGGGCAACGTGAGATTTAAAGTTCTTACCATTGTTGTGATGTTGTTGTTTTGGAGGGGAAAAGTTGTAACCTCTGCCTTCCTCCTGGTTTAGTGACATCCCTTGAAACATCGAGACAAAGCATTCTGAATACTCACTCAGCAAGTTAAAATAATCAACAATAAGAATGATAGTTTGAAGTGTATAATATAAGACACTAAGCCTCTTTCAAGAGAATACAATAGATAATTTGCTTAAGATTAGTGAACAACACTTGTTGATTTTATTTATGAACAAAATATATCAAACCGCTTTGGTAGCTATTTTCATGGAATAAATGATATTTGATTTTTGAAATTATATTTGATTTGATGAATATTAAAATATAAAATATGTCATGGCATGTGTGATATGAATGATCTACTTTTGAATGTATGTTTCACCTATACAGTATATTGTATTCAAATTTACAAACAGTGTCAAGTGACTGATGTCCCGTTGCTTTAATCAGTGGTACTCCTAAATTTTGACTCACCATCATTGTAGCTCCCACGATCATCATTACGAGGATGGGAAGTAGGAACTCTAGGAGTTATTGACTCAGACTTCCTGACTACTTTGTTTTCTTCAGCTAATTTTATTTCATTCTTGTCTGAAAAAAAATTTTTGAATTATATTTCAATAGTGGGTCAGCTTATTATTTACCACACTACTTTTTAATCTCACGATTTAGATTTATTTCTACTGACCGCAATTCTTAAACTTGCCCAAAAGTCTAAAAAAAACATGTTATTATTTTTAATAAATTGGTAAAAAAGCGTTATTAATTATACTTTTAATTATTTTTTAAACTGTTTACATTCATATTTATTTATTTTGTTCATTTTACTTTTCATTAATTTCTCTCTGCTTGAAAACGTTTTTATTGAATACAAATTTGCACTGGTTTATTTTTCATAGTTCTCTCAACAAAACCTCAAAGAAAAAAAAAATATATATATATATATATTTTAATTTATTTTTTTAATAGGGCGGTTTTTTAAGAAAGGGCGGGTTTCACATATAACTCCGTAGTTTACTTGTATGCCTTAACGAGGCTCATCATTATTTACTGGCATCATTTGTGAACAGAATTACACAAATTTCAGCTCTGTGCCTGTCATGTATGCTTCGCTGAGTGTTTTTACAACTTTTTAAGCAATAAAATCTCCCGCTGAATCTGAGGTAAGGTCAGTGATACTTTTTAATTACAAGAAACAAATCCGATGCCTAAATTCATCGCCAAATGACTAAAGGTGATTTCCCTAATGTAATGAGGGAGGGTAATGTGCAGAAATGGGTTATGGAGTGTAAAAATGGCTGTGAAATCTTTTTTTCTTAGTGGTATCTTTGAGAAGTCTGGGTACCCACCAAAAACACAATTCCTTCTTAAATGAGTCATTTTTAAACTCCCTAGCCTATTTCTGCATTTTCCACTCTATCCCAGAGCATCAGGGTCATAATCTCCAGTCATCTGGCGATGAATGTCGACATCAGATATGTTTCTTGTAATCAAAAAGTATATCACTGAACACTGACCTTACTTCAAATGTGGCGGGAGATTTGATTGTTTGAAAAACTTTAAAAACAGACATCTACGCGTATATGACAGCTACATAGCTGAAATTTGTGTCATTCTACAGTAGAACCTCTTTAATCCGAACTAATTGGGACCAGGGGTAGTTCGGACTATTGAATAGTTCGGATTACAGAACATATTGTTGTTTTTACATAACAATAGCTAAAACTGATCAACATTATTTTGGGAAAAGTGAAAAAATGTTTTATAAAGTAAAATACAGTGTTTATTTAATACAGTAGTAAACATGGTGAATAAACAGTACTGTAAATTAAATACAGTATACAATAAAGAACTGCTGTACTGTGTATAGAGTACAGCAATGAGGGGTTCGGATTAGTGGACGTTCGGATTACAGGGGTTCGGATTAAAGAGGTTCTACTGTATTCATAAATGATGCCAGTAAATGGTATGAACCTCGTTTCGGTGTACAAGCAAACTACGGATTTTTAAGCGAAACCAGCCCTGACTTAATATACCGCCTTCGTATTTATTTATTTATAGCTCAATAAAATATTAAATTCTATAAATAACAAAATATTTACTAAATATAAACTAGTTACACATATATAACTATACTTACATTGATGCAGTAGTTTGGCCCATGTCTTAGAGACACCACCAGACTGAGACTGTTTGACGAGTCTGAGCAGTGAGACGCTTGGCTTCTTGTGTATGAATCCTGAAACAGTCAAATCTAAATAAATTGTCTGTTTTATATAAATTTCAGGGCCCTATTTAGAATCTATGTGGCCCCCAGCGGCTCTAGAGATCTCCCTCTATTTTCATCCTTTGGTGGCTGGAGCTCAAGGAATTTAGAAATACAAACGATATTGCTTCAACTTGATGAACTCAATTCTTTTTTTTTTCTATGATCCAATCAGCAAACAGAACTAGGACGTAAGAGGTTAGGAGACCAGCCAATTAAGAATTTTTTTTAAATTTTTTTATAATATTAATAGTCTTTGGGCCAGACTATTTTATTATGGGTCTGGTCAAATATGGTTGTATTGGGGCAAATTCAATTTGAGTATAAATCAAGTTGCTTTGAAAAATATTGATTTAAAAAAATGGTTATATACTTTAATGTCTTTGAACAACTTCTGCAAACGCAAATAAATCTTCAACATTGTTCTTGGTTGTAATGAAATTAATAATATCCCCCGGGGTTCATGGTAAAATCGTAAACATTATCACAGTCTCCCACGCTCGTGGCAAAATCACAGATATTGTTTGCCAAGTCATAATTTTTGTCTTCGTGACAAAATTGTTAACGTCTCCTGCATCGCGGCGAAATAGTGAAAATCTTCAGCCGTTGCAAGGACAAAATTATCATCTCCTGTAATCACCAAGAAACCAAGAACAGCATCATCGTCTTCCAGTATGGTTTGAGTACTTTCACTAGCTGATTGATAAAAATTGTCTCTTAAAAGCTCTTTTACTCTCTATTTTAATAGCATTTTTGCTAACCTTAACATAAAGGCTAATATTATAAAGCATTCTGTAAATAACATTTTCAGTGACTTGCCATTGCTAAATTTCTGAACAAGCTGGATTATGGAAGGTCTACAGTCAGAGTATGATGAATCAAATCAAACATATTTCTCAATCAGGCAGGAACTGCTTTTAACAAATAATTACAGTTATCGTGTATACTTAAGTGGTAGATTTGCTATAGGCCTAGCCTAATGATTGTTTCTGTCATGAAAAGTGAACATGGAACAAAGTGTAATTTCTGCCTGAAGGGGTAGTTAACAAACCATAGTTTTTGTGAAGAATCAAAGAACTTCTACTTGGGGAACAATTAAAAAGTTTTATTTATTAAAAAATTTAAATAAAACTATGATAAATGTTTATATTAATTACCTGTACTTGCTGTGCTGGATCTAGGAACATTCGTTGATCTGGAAACAGTGTTATCACTCGGAAGATGGGAATCTGTAAAACATAAATAGTTGATAAAAAAACTACCTCAATACAACACTAAGTACCTAAATTTCACAATTTGACTAAACAAGATTAGTGTTACTACCATGAAATATACATGCCATTGATAAGTCAAAGTTGCTGCTAGGATTAAAATAGTAAAGCAAGTGTAAAAAGAACCAAGTTTGATTGTAGAGAGAGTGTACAATGTAAAATTCATCAACCCTTTAGCTGTGTATAACTGAAAATGCCACTTATTCCTAACTTAACCTTTTATCAACTATCAAAGTACAAGAAACTAAAACTCAAATAGTATTACACTCTAAGAGGTCAATTTAACTATATTCCCTTTAATTAAAAACTGGCTACTGCTAATCCAAATACAATTGAACTCTATATACGGTCCACGAGAGTCTGCAGTTGAGAGAGGAGCCTATCTACCATGTGATTATGAAGGAGCCAATGAGGAACGAGCATTGTTGCCAAATCTAATAATTATTGGTTAATAAATGTTTACATTAAGTGCCATACCATCAAGCTTTGCTATTGTTATTTCTGTAATCTTATATAGGCTACTTTAGTTTGACAAACTTCTTTTTCCCCAGCAGAAATTTATACCAGCTGAATTGGAAATATTGTTTAGTATATTTTAGTTAGGCCTAGTGCCGCAACAGCCTATGAGGGCGAGTGGTAGTCAACGGACGATGTTGCAACATCACGCCTAGCCTGGTCTTGGTATTGGCTGCCGCCAACTGCAGACTTTCGTGGCCTGTACTTTAATCATCCGGATTGTCAACCATCCAGATAACCGTACCTCAACAACAACAATAATAAATTCAGCCAGAGAAATTAAGTAATTTGCATAAGTAGCTTAAATTTTAAAACCATTAAGCTTTTTCTCAGAATTAGTTATTACATTTAAATTCAACTAGAGGAAGTCCGATTCAATGATAACCTCTAAGCCTTTTAAGCAACTACTAGCACAAATAAAAATAATCTATCTCCAATAGGAATGAATAGGCCTACTAAAGAAATACCAAAACTACTCACCCAAAGAGGTCTCAGGAAAGCCAGAGGACAGGGTGGTATAGGAAGTGGTTGGTGCCAACCTAGCTGCAGAACATGGTACAAATTGTTAAAATCAAGAGTTAATACAAGTAACCAAACTTTCAGAGGTTGGATATAAAAATTTAAGTACACAAACAAGTAGCGTTTTTTCGGTGGGGCATACGGAAGATTTCTCAGGTGCCGTTTGACGTCACTAACTGCTGATGTCACTAACTGCTGCGTCTGGAGAAATAGACAATTTTATAATTTTTCTATTATTAAATTAAACTGTCATAACCTAACCAAACGTGCTGATAATGAAAAAATCGAATGAAGGTTTACTAATCTAAAAAATAGTTTTGTTCATAAAATAAAATTACAAATGCCTAAAATTCAATTTTATATTTTTTTGATTATAAAATTAAACTGTCATAACCTAACCAAACCAACCAAACTTGCTGATATGAAAAAAATTGTTGACAAAAAGTTAGTACTACGAGCGGGATTCGAACCTGGTACATTCGGATTACCAGCCCGCCACGCTATCCACTTCACCACCGAGGCTGATGGCTCCATGCCGTATCGCTGCGGTATTGAATTGGTGTTCCCTCAAAGTAACATCAGCAGTTAGTGACGTCAAACGGCACCTGAGAAATCTTCCGTGTGCCGTTTTGGCGTTTTTTAGCATTGTGTAAAAAAAACAATGTCAAATTTAAAATTTACAGCAGAGCGTCAATTATAACCTAGCAATCTGAAACATCAGTTAACCCAAAGGCCGATTATCATTGTTTGCTATACTGCAAGATATGTTTCTAAAACTGCAGGAGAGAACCAAATTCAGTAAAAATTATTTTTAATATTATCAATCTAAGTTACAATACTACATGTCAATTTTACTAGCAATCACTCTCTGCTGTAAAACAATGTTTTAAGTTTTGATGTAAAAATATAAATTGTATAAATGTAGTAAAATTCTTACTTGAATTGGTTTTCCCAGAAGATTGAGTCTTGAATGAGGAATTGTTTAAACTACGATTGGGAGGAGGCAAAAACTCATCTCCACCTAGAATATTTCAAATAAATTATACAAAAATGGCTGCTTGACAATAAGAGTTACATTGACTTGTAAACATTTGAGCTTATGTGAAGAAGTAGAATGTTAGCTCTACTGGTGAATAGCATAAATACCCCCGCCGCAGCAAACCTGCAGACTAAGCGAATTTCCATTAACCTGATTGGATTTACACTAAAATGCCTACATAAAAATAGCACATTTATTTCCTATTTAAATAGAATTAGTTTAACGAGTACTTAGGTTTGCTGCAACAGGGAGGGTAAAAAAGATTTTTTTATAAGATGATTATAGTTTAGTAAGAAATAAAAGTATTTTCCAAAATCTATCAAAATATGTTCATAAACAAGCAAACTACAACAGTTGACTTATTCTCCATAAGAATAACATGGGAATTTTAAAATTACAATTTTTTTGAATTTTCTCCGTAACAATTAGGCGCATGATAACGCTTCAATATAGTAAATTATTTGTTTTTTTAAGCTCTACAAAAAGGTTTAAAAATAAATTGTGAAATTTTGTGTTTTTAGGGTCAAAAATGGGAAAAACCTATTTTTACCCCATAAAACTCCCCATAATCCCCCGTTCCCATAGTCCGATCATGATGGTTCGCGAACTCATTCAAGTTTATCCTGCCTTACACCTTCAAACCAAATTTTATCAAAATCGGACAAAAATTACTCAAGTTATCGTGCGGATGGACACATATATATATATATATCTAATATATAAAATTCTCGTGTCACAGTGTTTGTCTGCAAACTCCTCCGGAACGACTTCACGGATCGTTATGAAATTTGGTGTATAAATTCTGTAGGTATGCGAATCGGACGTAAACTATTTCCCGTTTCGAAATTCTTAAAAGGGCTCCGCCCCAGTGGCTCTGGAGTTTCCCATGTTAACCTTATGAGAAATGGAATTAATGAATCTTAACAGCTGTTTCAATTAAACGAGTTGGTTCTGTTCTATGATGTTCAATAGCATTAAAGTTACAAGGATTACCAAAAGGGTGCAGCACTATTATTTCTTTACATTTATGACAACAGCTAATTTGCAACCAAAAGGTGAGTGAGCGTAGCGAACGAACTTCAACCTGGAGGCGAGTTAGCGTAGCGAACGAGCTAACCTGAAGGCAAGTGAGCGCAGCGAACGAGCTCCAACCTAAAGGTGAGTGAGTGTAGCGAACGAGCTCCAACCCAAAGGTGAGTGAGCGTAGCGAACGAACTTCAACCTGGAGGCGAGTTAGCGTAGCGAACGAGCTATCCTGAAGGCACGTGAGCGCAGCGAACGAGCTCCAAATTAAAGGTGAGTGAGCGTAGCGAACGAGCTCCAATCCAAAGGTGAGTGAGCGTAGCGAACGAACTTCAACCTGGAGGCGAGTTAGCGTAGCGAACGAGCTAACCTGAAGGCAAGTGAGCGCAGTGAACGAGCTCCAACCTAAAGGTGAGTGAGCGTAGCGAACGAGCTCCAACCCAAAGGTGAGTGAGCGTAGCGAACGAACTTCAACCAGGACGTGATTGAGCGATGCGAACGAGATCATCTTGAAAATTAAACGTAACGGTACTTTCTTTCCATCGGTCTGTCTTAGGGGAAACCTATAACTTAGGCGATACGAAGTTCGCCGGGTCAGCTAGTATATATATATATATATATAGATATATAAAAATTTGAACGAATGGTGTTTTTGGCCTCTGGGGACATCAAAATGAAAAAGTAAATCGGTCCCGGGCTTAGGTCTTAACATGAGACCTACGGTAATAGCTACTTCCCTATAGGGAAATTCGCTAAAACAAATAAATTAACGCAGATACGTCTCAAAATGGTCTATGGATTCATACTATCCAAGTCAGCTAATGAGTAATCTACAAGGCATGTTTTATTAACTAAGTACTGTTTTTAAATTTCTCCATTCCAGCACTGTGATTGGCATTTTGGACATTTGTGCTGTGTATGTGCAACAATTCGGCAACAATCGGCCGCGTTTACATCCGTTTTCGAGCATTCAAAATGGTGCCGCCAATGCCGACTGTGAAGTGCACGCTGTAATAAGGTTTTTAAGTGCTAAAGGTGTGAAAGCCATTGCAATTCATTGACAGATTAGTGAAGTGTATAACGAGAACATTTTGAGTGACGGAACGGAACGTAAGTGGGTAGGGTAAGGGCATTTAAAGACAGCCCCACCAACGTTCATGATGAGCAACGCACTGGGTACTGGGGACAGTAATGCCAGATGGCCGCCCAGTGCGTTGCTCATCATGATTGTTGGTATGAAACAGTTTCTCAAGATTTAATAATATGGTATTTTTTAATCTGAGTCTTGTTTAGTGTAGGTATATTGTAAGTAATTTCTTCAAGAAGAGTGTTATTAATTTTGTAATATTTTTACTTATTTATCACATATTATTTTTTCAGAGCTTAACTTACTTGACGAATCTTCAATGATGACCTCATCACGGTTAGAGTAAATTTCTGCGTCTTCTTCTTCATTATCGCCTGTGGAAGAACAGTACTATAATAAGTAGGGTAACAGCTAACAGCAAAAACTAATATTTCTTAAATTTTAAATGAAAACCCCAATCGCAATATTTAATTGATATTAATTATTTATTACTAAAGCAAAGTGTGTATTAATTTTAAAAAACATGAAGGAACATTGTCCTTATTTTATGAGTTAAATATTAACAGGCAACATAAAATTCTAAACTTACTCATTAATATGGGATCTCTTTTTTCAGGTTCAGGTGCAAAATTGATTCTGCTTTCATCTGAAACTAACACCATTTACTGGCTATTGGAGAATGTTTTCCAATTTGGAGTACATTTACCGGTCATCTGCCTACTAATGGTTCTCAGAGGCTACTGCAGTGGTGCGTGGTGATGTTTTACCTACGAGTAGTGTATGTCCAGGATTGTTGAGGCTGGTACACGGCACCAGTTCACGGTCCATTGGCAACTGTATAGTCAGCAAGACATTGGAGCATGGAAGAGATTATATTTCGTTTTGGAAAAATATAGCTTGCTTGGAAAGTTGAATACTTATGGCTGGGGAATGGGTCAGTTAGGTTAGGAAAATAATAAATAATAAACATATTCCATCCATATTTACCTCCACCTGTCTAAGCGGGACGTAAATTATTTTTGTCAATGTGATGTGGTATGCCAGGAAAAAAGGTTGGAAAAATAAATAAAAACGCTATAGTAATCCTTTAAAAAAGTGCATCTTAGTAAAATTTTAAATGCTCTAATGAAACATACTATGGAAACACAAAATCTCTTCTTTAGATATCAAACAAATAACATTACAATATTTTACTTAAATTCCCTAAAACAACTAAAACACAACACAAATTTTAACGAAAGTCATTTTCTTCTTTACATTTTATACAAATAATATTAAAACATTTTACTTGAATTCACTGAAACATCACCAACTACACCCCCATACCAATAGCCCCATTTTCCTATGGATATAAACAAAATTGTATCATGGCCATATGTTTTCATGTAAACAATATGTAAACTTGAAAAAAGTTCAGATGATTGACTCTGAAATTTTAAAAGCCTATAGGACGAAGGGCTTTCACGGTATATCACCCGAACCCGCAAAAGGCACATCTAGAGGATATAAGCTTTAAATTGATACCCAATATACCTATAAAAATAAATGTTTAGGGATCGATTTGCTGCACACAAAAATCCAACAAATTTTTTTGATAATATAGATATGTTAGAAACGGGTACGCGTCTAATTGGCACCGCGTCAGATTGGCACCGCGACAGATTGGCACCGCTCCTAGAGGTGCCAATCAGTCGTAACAGTACACGACAGATTGGAACCTGGAGAAAGGGGTGGTGCCAATCTGTCGTGGTGCCAAGCTGACGGCTGCCGCAGAGGTGCCAATCAGTCGTAACAGTACACGACAGATTGGAACCTCGAGAAATGAGTGGTGCCAATCTGTCGTGGTGACAAGCTGACGGCGGCCGCAGAGGTGCCAATCAGTCGTAACAGTATACGACAGATTGGCACCGCTGCCCTCAATATGCCCACCTTTTCGTTTTACTTACTAGTCTGATGTTTGAAAACAGAAACGTGTCAATACTTGATGCATGTCAATTAATGCATACACATTGATAATAACATTAACTTTAACAGCACAAACCGCTTCGTAAATGGTCCATCTAATCAAAGTTACAGTTCCTCAAGGCTTTTAATATTATGCCATTAAACTCAAGTTCATAATTTGGAAAACGTCTGATACCTACTAAAGTATTTGGCACAATTGAATGAAACCTTGCAGTCATTTTTCGGAAGGGGGGTGTGCGTTAACCTGGTTAAATAATTTATTTTTGTAAAAAAATACAACCGACTTCAAACGCTCTAAAAAGAATGAAATAATTTCAATAAAGTAAACTTTTGTATTAGGCAAGCTCACGTATTTTAAGTCGGCGCGACTCTATGATGATGTTTGATACAAAATTGAAAGAGGGTGTCCATATTGCAGGTGACTCTATAACTAAAGGTGTTAATCTGCATGTCTTTTTCATAGTTATGCGTTAAGTGTTATTTTATTACCGTAATCAGAGATCGGCATTATAGTGGTATTAACGAGTATCTTTAAAAAGATTATAACGCATTTAAATGTTTCTAACTTGGAAAAGTAACGTTTTAATACTAAACTAGCTTCTTTTCCCTATAATAATATCAAACTAAATTATTTTCCTATTCATATAGAACATTTGTGAGTGTTATTTTTATAATGCATTTATTCTGAAGTAAACATAAAATACAAGAAAATATTTCCTTTAATATATAAACAAAACAGTTCAGTATGTTTTTTATATATTTATGTTATCCAGCTACAATTTATTGATTTTCAAAATACACACACAACATTTAATTTCAATCATATTTGCGGTTTGAGCAGCGCCGACTTGAAATACGTGAGCTTGCCTAATACAAAAGTTTACTTTATTGAAATTATTTCATTCTTTTTAGAGCGTTTGAAGTCGGTTGTATTTTTTTTTTACAAAAATAAATTATTTCATGATTTTTAGTGACTGTATAATTTTTTTTATATTAATTACTTCAGGATTTTTGATAAGCAAAACTGTTTGACACAATCAAAAGTTCCACAGAACAATCATTATTTTAAGAGTCACCTGTTCAGGTTACATAATCAATGTTCTTATTCTTAAAATCAATGTAATATTCTTATTCTTATTCTTAATGGGTACGAAAATAAACATTTTTAGATATTCCTTAAGAAAGAAAGAGTTGTCCATTACATTAGGCCTAATGAAAAACTAATTGTCTTTTCTAGATACATTGAAATGTCAGACATCATCGTTTCCTGCAATCGGTGTACTTCTACATTATAAAAAGAAATACAGTAACGTCTCAAGCCTTTTGGAACAAAATGAAAGTTATTCCTCAGCTACCAACACTAAAAAATCTCTCAAAAGTGGAAAATTGGTCGTTAACACGTATAGTACCTTTGGAAAATATTATATGAAAGATTGGTTCAGCTAAAAGTGGTGTAAGTCATGTAGGGGGTTTTGTTTGCTCAAGATATAGCCTAGTCGAAATTGCAAATCATCTTCCTCTAGGACTTTCCGAAGCAGGCATAATAGTATTGATATGTTATAGTAACTGGGTAGAGAATATTAATAAACATTCCACATCTGCATATTGAATATGTATATGAAAGATTGGTTCAGCTAAAAGTGGTGCAAGCCATGTAGGTGGTTTTGTTTGATCAAGATATAGCCTAGTCAAAACTGCAAATCATCTTCCTCTAGGACTTTCCGAAGCAGGCATAATAGTATTGATATGATATAGTAACTGGGTAGAGAATATCAATACACATTCCACATCTGCAAATGCATGTTTGATAATTAAAATATTTAACACTTTTAAGACAATTGACGATTATGCACTGACACACTTCTTAGGTCGTGTATGGAATAAATGCATTTAATTTATATTTAGACCTGTTTTACGATTGCTTTGGTTTTCACAATACACCTTGATTTGTCAATATCATACAGCTATTCATTGAAACATATATGTTTTTGTAAGTCAGTAGATTCAATACTAAAAACAGAATTACTGTATACACAAATCAGGTCAAACTTTAAAATACATTTTTTATAGTAACCAAAACAAAATGCATTTTTCTCAATGTAATTCATTTAGGCTCCATGGCAAGAAATAGTTTATTAATCAATATGAAGCAACTGTTTCATGAAGAATTTTCTGAAGCTTCATTTAAATGGTTTCAACTAACAGCTGTAGGAATGTTATTATTATTTATTGCCTTCTCTGCACAAATGTAAACAATCTGCACAAATGTAAACAAAATAAATGTTGAATATTTAAGGTTTTCTGAATTTTTCACCGAAACAAATATTATACTTAAACATAATATATAAGGTACCAAATAGAAACTCTCCTTGTTATTTTGGTGGTGGAACCACACTGTTCGGTAAAAGAATCACAGAGAAATTGGTGAACATACATAGAAAAAAAAACATCGCAACAAACAAATTGAGAACCTCCTCCTTTTGTTGGTAGTGGGGAAGTCGGTTAAAAAGTTTTTTTTCATTCCGAAGTTACAGCTTGTCAAAGATATGACAATTTATCATTCAGTTAACTAATATTATTTCAATGAAATGATATTTTTATGCATTATAGAGTGATAAATTATGATATATTTTAGATGCTGTAATTTATTACTTAATTTACCTTTTTGTAAACAAGATGCGGTTGCACGCAAGTAGGCTTGCCCTATAAAATAATTACCGGTACTTCCTTCTTGGACCAAAACTCTAAAACTAGGTAATGTATAACACGAGGTATGGTTACACTGAATATGCAAATCTTCTGAAATGGGGTTATTTAGGCGTGAAATTTACGTGGATTAAAATATATAAAGCTATGGAAATTGAAAGTGGAAGCTATGATAGATTTTCTGCCTCATATCAGGACTTTGAGAGAAAATACTTTTAAACACTTTCTTAGTATGCATCTTATAGGCTACATGCCATGATGTCGTGTTAGTTAAGCAGTTTGTAACTCGAGACCGGCTGGATCTTTTTAATGATTTATGATTTGTTGGATTCGTCTTTAACCCGATTAACACATGTATCTTCAGTTCAGTATTTAAATTTAGGGCTAAGCCCCACATATGTATGTTATGCGTATGAAGAAAAATATGATGGATTTTGACCATATGCATACATTAATTTAAATATTTTCGAAACAGCTGATTAAACATTTGACAGGTAATGTAATTGAAAGTCATTTTCAGCTGTTTTGTGTTGTCTGTGATTGTTTTTAAAAGGCTTATAAAGGTGGGCGGTTGATTTGGTGTTTTTTTTTTACTTTTATGGGGTACAAAGTTCGCCGAGTCATCTAGTTTGTAATGTACAGTTCGCTCAATGTTTCTGTAAACATAACAATAAAATACGTTTTATATCAATTGTTTTTCGTGTTAACAGTAACAATTCGCATGTGTTTTCATAGTAGGCCTACGCTTTATTTAAGGAATCTTGATTAACAGTAATAACAAAAACTAGTCGAAATCAAAATACTACTGAGCAAGGCTTGGTCCTAACAGTAGGCCTACTAGGATTGAGAAACAGATGGTGTGGTGTAGTTAACTGAACCGTCATTAATAAAAAACGACCCCTAAATGCCTCAAGGGTCACAGCACTGACGCTAGTTTTTATTTATGGCCTTGTCCTATTTCAAAAAAATATCATCTTATAAAAGGTGCTTGAAAAAATATTCGAAACCCTCCCAGCGTGGAGTTTTCCGGCTTCCTCAAATTCTCTGTACGTCCGCTCGTTTGTCAATGTCAACGTTGATGTTGAAGACCAAATTGACAGTTGGAAATGCCACATAACTTGCAGACTCAAACATAGAAATCCCCGTAATTTGAATAGCGTGAGGATGTCAGCAGTCCCTGGTGGTCGCCCGTAACAAAGACACTGTTGTTTGTCAACAAGGGATTAGGATTGCCCGTCTACCTGTTATGGGGGGAGGACGCCCCGACTTTAAAGCCAGGTTATTGAACCACGAGGGAAATAATAGCTAAGGTAAACCAGGCCAGATTTAGTTTAAATGTGCCGCACACATTATGTCAGTAGTGAATTGATATACGAGACTCGTATTAAGTGTACTGTACACTGTACTGCCAATAAAGGGGTTTCAATGGTTTTAATTAACTTTAATATGGAAATCATTTTTTTTTTGTAAGTAACACACTGAGTTAATATGAGTAAATATGGTATGGTACATGTTATAATGACTTTTCTAACATTAAATTTGAACATGAGGTTAGGTTTCTCCAATACAGCATATGCAGACTCACGATAATCTGAGCCCCAATTGATCAAGCCTTCGTAGATAACCGAGCTCATATAAAAATTATAAAAAAAGTATAATAACAATTAAGCTATTAAAACCACGAAAATTAACGTGAAAAGTGGAGTTTCTTTCTTTTAGTGCAGTAGTAAGTAGCAACCAGGTAGCAGCATTATTCTTACTAACAGTTGTTCGCTCAAGCTGTTGATTACCACAAATAGTACGTTCGTCTTACGCAAAAATCTTTAGTAGTAATTGTTACACATTTTACTGTGGGCCCTGACTGTGATATTTTGTATATTCCACGAAGCACGAAATGAAAGAACCCTTATTCACTAATGCCACATCTGATTCAAAGTACAATGCTTAATCAGTTAAAAAAATCATTCTATACATGCTATCTGGTAGCAAAAGCGTCATGAAAAAATCACTCTAAAAGGGCCATTACACATTCGGCGAGTTTCTTGCAGATGTTTGGCGGTTTTTCCACTCAAGAAGTAGTTGTGATTTCTTCCATACGAAAAGGGATTTGTTTGAATTTTTACTAGCAGGAAAATATTTCTATAGTTAATCAGGAATAAAATAGTTTTGCCACCTGTTTCAACTACACAAGTTGGTTCTATGATATTAAATAACATTAAAAAGATATAAGGTTTACCAACAGGGTGCAGTACAAATTGTTTAAATTGATGATATCAGCTAATTTTAACCAAGCAGCAACAAAAAACTGTGATACAAAATGTGAACTGTCAAAGTAGGATTTTTTCCTGAGGTATGTTTAGGTTTTTAATTTAAGAAATCAATTTTTATATTGTGGGAATAAGGCGTTTTATTTTTTAAGTGCATCGTTCTTTAACTTATTGACTTCATTTTTTCCTATTTGTAAAAAAAAAAAACTATTGTGTTTGTATGGTTTATTCCCCCAAAAATAATGTTTGGGAAACGGAGTATCCAGTTAATACTTTTCGGAGTTTAAGTTTATCTACATACGACAAATCTATGGAACATAATTATTCTCATTAGCGTTCTCTTCCCGTTGCGAAGAACGGGTATGACTGCTAGTTAACCATAAAAGAATGTTAAATACGTTTTTTTAATCGGGACTAGTTAAATAAAATCAGTACAATTGTGTGTTCAATTAACAAATATGATTATAGTACAGACAGTTGCTAATTGCTGCATTTACTTCCTTTTGCCGCACTCCAGTATTCTAGTATTCCAACCAAACAACACAAATTGTTTAAAAAGCAACATAACAGAGTTTAGTTTTATTAGGACGTAATACGCGTACTCTTGAAAATAAGTTGACAGCGCTTAAATATACTACGTTTACCATCAACTAACTGATATAGTCTTTCTAATTTCGTCCAACGCTTGGATTTAAGCTAACCTATTGTATAGTGTTTAAATCACTAAGTATTTCTATGCTTTACAGTAACTGTAGGATAAATATAATGTGTCACACTAGCCACACAATAGTATATTACGTTACTAGTCCTGAAAATAAGTTTTTACCGGACGAGTGTGGTCGTTCCTGTGCGAGACGAAGTCGAGTACGGGATTACCATACGAGTTCAGTAAACACATTTTGGACGAGTGACATACGATAGTTTACGCCATACTACTAAATCTGTAAAAAATCTTTATATTACCACCAACTAAAGGACTAAAAATCACTAGTCATAACCTGTAAGAGAGGTTATGTTTTTGTTTATAACTACAGTACTCATTGCCAGTGCCACCCAAATACAGTATAATCAGCTGATTGGTGTCCGGTAAAACTCATTACAGTACAGTTAGTAGTACGCAATGAAACTCCATTTGATTAAGCTGGCGGCAAACAGCTGTTTTGTGGACTAAATTCTTGCGTGGGAAGTTCGTCAAAATAGTGTAGTGTGGCGTAATAGTATATTACGTTACTAGTCCTGAAAGTAAGTGTTTACCGGACGAGTGTGGTCGTTCCCGTGCGAGACGAAGTCGAGTACGGGATTACCATACGAGTCCGGTAAACACATTTTGGACGAGTTACGTACGATATTTTACGCCATACTACTTAATCCGTACAAATCGTTATATATTTCCACCAACTAAAGGACTAAAAATCACTAGTCATACATAACCTCTAAGAGAGGTTATGTTTTAGCTTATAACCAATTATTGCTACATACGCAAATACAGTATTATAATCAGCTGATTGGTGTCCGGTAAAACTCATTGCAGAACAGTATCACGCAATGAAACCCCATTTGAATAAGCTGGCGGCAAACAGCTGTTTTCTGGACTGAATCCTTGCGTGGGAAGTTCGTCTAAATAATGTAGTGTGGCGTAAAAACTATTTCAGTCAGCTATGTTTAAGACTGTCTAAATGACATTTATCCAAAGGTAGGATAATCTATATTATTAATAAGCTAAATGAAAACTTGTAAACAATAAAGCTGTTTGTTTTAAGATTTAACCCCACATATTGTATCCCAAACTGTTTGTGCTTCCAAACACGGGCGCATCCGACTTGCGCATAATCCCGGGTCACCAGCGGGGGGTCGACAAATTTAAACGCACCCCAACGTCCGACTTGCGCATTGTCCAGTCAGGCAGACTAATTGGGTAATCAAGCGTTATTAACATGGTTTGTATATATAGTTACCTAGGCTGCAGGTCTGTTGCAGGGGAGGTTTTGACAATATGAGAATCAAGGGACCATCAAGTTTCAAGGTCAAGGGGGGAGAGTTGTGTTTGAAAAATATCCCTGCCCCTCACACGATATTCTTCAATTGGGAGTTTGGTTTTTAACAGAGTTGGCATTAATTTGTACTCATATTATTGTAATTGTACATGAAAACCCTGTTAAAGGCTGTAAGATTTTATATTGATTATTTATTCGACGGGAGGTGTACCACTCCGTGACAACCAGCAGTGGAGACGTATTCAAAACGTCCATCCGCCTTCCCTTAACCTGTCCGGCATGCCGATCAATTGTCGGACATATCGTAAGACTCTTTTTTTAAAGGATTTGCAGTATTATTAATATGGTTTATACAAGAATCTATAGAATGACTGTTGAAGTGATTGACTTTAAATTAAAGAACGTTTTATTTTATTTTTGTATATTATGATTTAGTTAAAATTAAAATGAAAGTAAATAAAAGAAACGTCTTATAACATTAAAAACATATATTTACGCTTATACTGTTACAAGACGGAAAGTACACAACAAAAGATGGTAAATGGTTACCACTTACCATCTTTTTTGTACATTTACCCTCTCTACTTGAATACTGCAAGTAGTTAAATCTCATTCACGAGGAACAGGTGTAGTATTGACTTTAGAGAAGGATTGGATTAATATTCCAGCTCCACTGAATATTGCACGCAGAAAACTACGTTGTTGTATTTTTAAACCTCATTCAAGAAAGGGGTGGTGCCAATCTGTCGTGGTGACAAGCTGACGGCGGCCGCAGAGGTGCCAATCAGTCGTAACAGTACACGACAGATTGGAACCTCGAGAAAGGGGTGGTGCCAATCTGTCGCGGTGCCAAGCTGACGGCGGCTGCAGAGGTGCCAATCAGTCGTAACAGTACACGACAGATTGGAACCTCTAGAAAGGGGTGGTGCCAATCTGTCGTGGTGCCAAGCTGACGTGAGGTGATATTTCATGGCCTCATGTCAACGAGGTTCCAATGTGACGCCTGGTGCTAAAACACCATGGTGCCAATCTGTCGTGGTGCCAATCTGACTGCGACTCTTAGAAACTTACCATTAGGTTTCTGAGTAGGTCGAAAAAACTTTGTCAAAGGAACGTTGGACGACTTGACATTTGATTTAGGCTTAGCTTTTGAAAGAGAAGGTCTTTGTGATTTTGCTGTAAATAAACAAAAAAGATAATGTAAATTAAACTTTGAAATTTCTTCATAATATAGAGTACACTGTGTGCAACTTATACTTCCCTCAAGGTTGTTTTTGTACTACCTATGCAATGTTGTTGCAAGGAGACGGGCTTTCACCTTTATTATTCAACTTGGCTTTATAAAACTCCCTTCAAAAGGTAAAAAGTCGAGGCCAAGGAATAGAAGTAGGAGCAAAATGTTATGTCTTAGCCTTCGGGGATGACATTGCGCAGGTCGCGGAAGATGAACATAGCTTGAAAAGCCTTGCCAAAACTCTAATAGAGAGAGCAAAAAAAGTAGGGCTACAGGTAAATGAACAGAAAACTAAATATCTTTGGGTAGGCCGTCACATGGACAATATTAGTGACAACTTACAAGTAGAGGACCTCACATTTGAAAGAGTGACAGTGACAGAATTCAAATATTTAGGAGCGACTATTGATCAAGCCAACCAAGAAATGGCTGAAATCAACACAAGAATAATGAATGTCAACAGATGTTATTGGGCTTTACAAGGGCTTTTAAAAAGCAAACTACTCTCAAGAAAGACCAAGTTACGGGTCTATAAAACCATCATACAACCTGTAGTATTGTATGGGTCAGAAGTATGGACAATGTCAAAACAGGCTGAAAAAAAGCTGATGGTGTTTGAAAACAAAATTTTAAGGTGCATCTATGGTCCCATAAATGAAGATGGAATATGGAGAATACGCACTAGTAAAGAGCTTCGAGAGCTATACAGAGACCCAGACATAATAGCCCAAATCAGAAAAAGCAGAAGACTCAGGTGGGCAGGCCATATCACAAGATGAGAACAAAATGTAACAATTAAACAATTAAAGCGATAAATGAAGGACTACCAAGAGGAAAGCGGCCCTTGGGACGACCACGACTTCGCTGGACGGACCAAGTGGAAAAGGACTTGAGAAGATTGGGGGCAGAGGCTCAATGGATGCAAGACAGAGAGAGATGGCGAGGCATTTTTGGTGAGGCCAAAAACCTTCTGAGGTTTGAGTGGCCTAATAGGTAAGGTAAGGTATGCAATGTTGTTTGACACGCTCTAGTCTTGACAGTTAAAGAATATATTTTTAAGGATAGACACTTTTAGGCCTACAACTTTAAATGGTGATAGCTTTCCCTTAAAAGCGTTACCTAATACACTTAAATAGCTACAACTTCAATTTTAAAAATGTCACTAGAGTAAAAAAAGGGGGGAAGTTGTCCTTGATAAATGTCTTTTAAAATAGGCCTAATGTTTTTGGCTGAAATTAAAGCCAGTAACAAGGCATTCATTTAATACTTATCTTTGCCTCAAATTAAAAACCTGAAGTGTAGATCAACTAGTGTGTTTTGTGTGTTAAATTCAACTGTGTATCTATATAGACAACAAGCCTTTAGTTGGTAGCCTTAACTATTATAATTAACATATAAACTCACAATTAATAACTTGTGAAGCAGGTGAGCTTTTGGATAACCAACTGCTTGCATGGCTTGACTCTGGCCTGGAAGTGTCAATGTTGAACGATGAAGCTGAAATACACAGTTTATATCAGCAGTTGTAAGAGAAAGTCAAACTGCATGTTTGGCAATGGTTTATTTGATTATTCTGTTTTAAAATTATAACCCTTTAACTAATTTAGTTTCACAGTCTCCTTAAAGCCTCAAAGGTTTTTTTGTCCCACCTACAACACTTTCTAGGACGCCTAGGCTCCTGTGTGGAACTGTTTTACACATTAAGTCAGGCTAGTCCTGGAAAATCATCGACATATAAAGTCCACTGGTGATGGCGGGATTTGAACCTGGGACTTTGGGGACAGAAGCCTTACGCTCTAACATTTGTCCAGTGTGCTCCCCAACCTGCAGCTTATAGTATATTAGTGTGATCTGTTTAGTTGTTGGTTTTATAGGTTAGTTAAAAATGCATGTTTTATTACTTTATTTTGCTTAATCGCAGCTAGCGGAAGCCATCTTTATACTGTTTATTGTATTCTACATTTTCTGCAAAACCAGTCTGAGAGATTTAATTGTAGGCGGTTAAGTACAAATAGCACGATACTTTTAATGTTAAAAACAGCAAAGTGTTCAGTGATTACTGATTAAACCAATTCAACACAAGAATTAAAAATATAATGTTAAGTTATTAAGTTTTTACATGTTTACAGAACCTTTTTGAACACTATGTTTGAAGTAATAATATGGCCATATACAAGTTTTGTTTTGATGGCTTTGTTTTTACACAGACATAGTTTTCACTGATAAAGCGCACCCTTAAAAAAGCCACAATAACTGAATGTGTAAAAAACCCGGGTCTGGCACGTGCAATCCTTCCTTCGTTAGCGTCTGTCCATATGCCTTATTTAAAGTCATGGCAAATGTAACTTTTAAGGGAAATTCCTTCTTAGTCATTTTGAAAGGATTACGGACTATTGCGTGGTATGACATTTTAACCGGAGTCAGTCAACTTCGCTTTGATAGTATAAATTAGTTGCCCAAGTGAGCTACAACCAATCTTGGAACATGCTTAGGTTTTCATTTCATTAACAGAGTTCTTTTTAGCATGGGTTTATGAGGTAACGAACCTAAAGGGCCTAATGAATTTAATAAACTCTATACTGGATACAACAGAGCGTTCTACGTCCCTTGGTAAAAAACAGAATCAAAACTAATATAAACCGTTCCCTGTCAGTAACAAATGTGACACAACATAACCATTCATTAAACCCTGTATTAAAGAAAAGATTATAGGTGATGCTTATGAGGCAAACCTAGCCACCGTCTTAGCCTTATTCTACCCCATTTTACAACTAAAAATCGTGATATTTCTTTCAGCTATTTTTTATTCAATCTTTTTGAACTTGGTATCATTTGATAGGGAATTGAAAATGCCAAATAAAAGTGTTCTTTACGTTTTTTAATTAAATCAGCCATAATTTATGTTCAAAGACTTTAAATGGCCGCCATTTTGTTAATTTAAAAGAAAATTTCATAAGTATTTTTTTTTATTAAATGTATGTGCAAAGTTTGGTTTCTTGGATAACTCTTGAGATATAAATTGTTTTGTAAAAATGGCAAGTACAGTTTTTTGACAAAATGACAGCTAGCGGCTGAACAACATTTTTTTTCGACCTATGTTTATATGAGCTTTTAGTTTAGATTGATTAGTACTATCAGCCCATGAAGTTTTTGACACCCCTTTACGAACACCCTATATATAAATTTAAATATTTTCCCATTTCATATTTAAATTAAATTATTTTTATCATTCTGTATTCTAGAATATCCGAATTCCATAGAGCTGAGATCTTCGAAAATCTTCAATTTCCGTACATCAAAAACAAATACGGTAGTGATCAGCTGACTTTTTCTGACGTAAACATTCTTTGGCTACACAAACAAGACTTTGCCTGACATCAACAAAGTTACAACTGACGTTCCCGGTTAGCTCAAATGGAGTGAGCGCCATTGAGTCTTAAATAAAAATACATAACAAAAAATTGATTTATTTAAAACTTAAATAATTTTTTGTTGACAGAGTTTACAACTTGCATTAGGCTAATATCAAATTTAGACTAGATTAAATAGTTAAGATACACAATTAAACCTAACAGAACATAGTGTAGAGAACACTGAAATTTTGAAATTTAAATTTATATTTACTGTGCAGTTCTGATTATTTGTAATATTGATGCACTCGTTTGCCCATGTTATTCTTATGGAGAATAAGTACACTGTTGTAGTTTGCTTGTTTATGAACATATTTTGATAAAATTTTGAAGATGCATTTAATTCTTACTAGGCCTAAATTATTAACATTTTACAAAAAAAATTTGTTTACACTTCCTGTTGCAGCAAACCTAAGTACTCATTAAACTAATTCTATTTAAATAGGGAATAAATGTGATATTTTTAAGTAGACATCTATATATCTAATTCCGTAAGCCCAAAATTTTACAATGAAATTGTGAGCGAACCGGAGGGCGTAGAAAGCTGGGAGGGGTCTCATTTTAAAGGTCTGGGCATGAAATTTTGGGGAAAAATATTCATTTTTCTTAATTATGCACCAAAAGGTTGTTACGGAATAAAATAATTCACATTTAAATAGCATGGAAATCTAGGTCATGTCTGCTTTGTTTACTTTAAAACATGTGGTTTAACTTTATTTAAAGCATATGGTGATATGTAATAGTCAAAGGTCTTTGACTATTAATACAACAACTAGACATTCCATCCCCATGTTAAAGTTGTAGCCAGGTTTTTAATAAAATTTGTTAGTTGATGTGAGCCCCCTACAGATTGCGCTGATCTAAATTACTGATGTCTGCCAATTACACGATGGTTTTTACCAAGTCAAACTGATGGAATGACTTATTATGTGCTATAGCAACTGTTGTGACCCAGCAACGATGTCAGTAGCCAGCAATAGTCAATGGTAATATGTACTGTAATATGTATACTACATATTATAAAGCTGAAATAGACTTTTCCTTATTTTAAGGGTCTGGATTATAGTTAATGGAGTATGATTGGTTGTGTTAGGTGTGTCTGAAAAAAGTGTTAACCTAGAAGTAATTGCTGGAGTAGGCAAATGGAACATATTATCATGCCAAAATAAAACTAATATCTACAGATCCTAATATGCCGTTTATAAGGATCCAATTCCTATTGCGATTAGCTTTCGCTATTCCTATAATTTAAGCGCGAGGCCCGCATACCTTCACAAAAGTCGGCATCTATTTGAAAAAATAACCCATGGACAACTTTATGTTGCTTTTAGCCAGGTTAAGCGGCCAGATGATGTTAAAATAGCTAGAACCAAATAAAGACCAAGGAATCGACCAAGATTAATAGGCCTACTATACAACAAATGTTATTTTCAGAGAGATTTTGTTATAGAATTAGCATTTTACAATTTGGAGGATGACATTATCTATATGTGTTTTATCGAAGTGAATTTGTCTACATTCAAAGAAATATATATATTTAATTAATATTCATGAAGATTATCATTGAAAATGTTCCTTGGTGGTATTTTAATTAGAAAGTTCATATTGTAAACACACTGCATGAACAGTCCTTTTGAATTTTTTTTTTAAACAGAGCAGACATCAAAATGCATTATGCAGGGTATGTAATAAATATTATATTAAACACAAATTTTTAACGATATCTAATTCAAGTTAGGGTAACCCATGAGACTAATAATTTGTACAAAATAATTACTAGAATATAGACCTATAGGGGCTATTGCCCCTACAAGCCACTAGTTTAAGTGTAAATCCAATCAGGCAAATGGAAATTCGCTTAGTCTGAAGGTTTGCTACGGCGGGGGTATTTTTTTACTGAGATATTTGACGTGACATAAGACATGCTATAGCTTACTATAAATGGTCCTATAGGTTTAACTTGGTCAAAAAGTCCAATTCCCAACAGAAACCAGTAATTTAAATGAGCCCAATCTGTTGGTAGCTCACATTAACTACCGGTACGTCCATTTTGATTTTAAAACTGAAGACGACTTTAACATGGGGATAGAATGTTTAGTTCAATAAAAGTCAGAGGTACAAAGCTATTATGTTATGAACAAACGAGGACATGGTACTAGAACAGCCTCAGTCAAGTGGGGTTTCGGCTCCCTGGACTGAAACATCACGAAACAACAGCGAGTACACAGTCAATGTGAGTTGACAGAACAAGATACTATAGGCCTAGATGATTTTTAGAGTGATTGACTTAAGATTTTATTTTACAGAGAAATAAAGCAGCATCATAAAGAAACTTGAATTTATTATGTAGGCCTACCTTTAAAAGAAGTAGTGTTTCCAAGTTGAGAAGATGGGGTTTTCTGAGTACTAGAGACTGCACCTTTACGACTTGTGTTGCAAGGATAAGTTGTTTGGTCCCTAACAGCTGAAAAATAAATAGTGCTGCATAAATACAACACTGGATATAAATACAATATTGGAACTGTTGTTTCCAAGCAATATTACAAGTCATTATCGGGACAGTACGTTTTTGAAATCTAGCTTAACTTACGGCCAGCTTATAAGTTACATCATTTTATTAGTAAATAAATAAATAAATAATTCTTTATTGTCACATCAACGTTTTAAATCATAGCACAGCTAAAAAACAGATGACATTGTCAAAATTATTACCATAGACTAACCAACACAAGTAGACTTCTCATCCCATTGTAAATTTTGAAGCTCGTTTTTCATGTCTAGTTCATGTACGCCACACTGGGCGCTAGTGTCGACGAAATTTTGTTTCTATTATTTTAGGGTTAATTTCTTGATTTGTGCTTTACTGTTTGGTTAAATAACTAGGGGACAATTTATTGTTTATGATTAGATCGTATTATTCGGTAAAACGAGGTTTTAAATGACTGTATTAACGCGAAACAAATTGTAAACAAAACACGACCTCTACATAAACCGTACAGAACTAACAATAAAATTGTCTTCAGCTGTTCCATTAGGATGAGAAATCTACTAAGGGAGTATGTTTTATCTATGTTATTACTAACTTAACCTAATGTACAACAATATGTCTTATGCATAAAAAATGTTTGTAAACAAGTTGGCAAAATTTGTTAAACGATGACAGAAAAAAAAAATTAGTTTCTATGTCATACAAAATAGAGTCATATTGATTGGTTAGTTTCATTGAGGTAATCATTAACACTGTAATACGTTTTGCTAATCAGAAAATCAGCAAGGCTGCTTTTAAAAGATTTATTATTAATTACATTTTTTAGAGTTGAGGGTAGTTTATTAAAAAGTTTTTTTCCCATGTATTTAGGTGTTTTTTCTACAAGCTTCAGTCGGTGTCTCGGATATTGGAAATATTTTTAAATCTAGTGTTATATATGTGGTCAAAGTTTTCGCTAATGTAGTCATCAAAATTTGAATGCACCGCTAACAATGTTTTGTAAATAATCAAATTTGGAATAGTCATAATATTCAATTCTTTAAAAACTGTTTTGCACGAAGATTTCCATGGTAAAAAAGTCATAATTCTTATAAACTTTTTTTGAATTTTAAAAACTTTTCAATTTCAGAGGCGAACCCCCAAAATTCAATTCCATACTGTACTATTGAATAAAAGTAAGCATAATAGAGCATGACAGAAGTTTTCAGGTCTATAGAATTTCTTAAGCATAACATTTGAAAACAGGCTGAATTTAATTTTCCAATTACCGACTGAATGCACTTACTCCAGGTCAAGTGTTTATCAATATATAGCCCTAAAAATTTTACATTATCATCAGTTGGTTGAGATTGATCAGTGAGTGCCATTGATTGAGGTGTACAAAATCTTACAAATTTGGTTTTCTCTTCATTCATTTTCAATCCATTGATCTCAAACCACTTCCCCAATTCGGTTAGGCTTTCTTCAATTTTTATGTTTTAATCCCTCATTGTTTTTTGTTTTAACTACTGCAGTAGTATCATCTGCATACAGAATTAGATTATTTGAAACATTTTTTGGAAGATCATTGATATATATAAGAAATAGAAGAGGCCCCAAAATCGAACCTTGAGGCACACCTATTTTAATTTTTTGCCATTCTGACTTTACTTTTAAATTATCTTTACAAATGACTGTTCTCTGATAGCGATTATTAAAGTAAGATTTCAACCATGACACTGAATTTCCAGAAAAGGGATACGACTCTAGTTTTTTAATGAGGATATCATGATTGACACAGTCAAACGCCTTGGATAAGTCACAAAACACCCCCATTGTGCTATGCGACTCATCCAAGGCCCATGACACCTCCTCAACAAAGTCTGAGAGCGCTCTCATGGTGCTTCGACCCTTTCTAAACCCAAACTGTTTGTTAGACAAAATATTGTGGGTTTCCATAAAAGAGGATATTTGGTAAGAAGCACATTTTTCAAAAACTTTAGAGAATGTCGGTAAAAGTGAGACTGGACGATAATTGTCTGGATTATGTCTCTCTCCATTTTTGAAAAGAGGTTTTAGTTCAGCATATTTTAAGTGTTCAGGAAAACTACTATTGAGGAATGATTGATTTATAATTATAGAGAGTGGTAGTGAAGTGTTAGCCTATATTACTATAACTTACTTGGTACTTTTTTAAATGGATTTTTAATATTTTGTGCTAAATGAAGCAATCAATTTACATAAATTGATACCTATCATATTGACCCCCTATTGGCCAATATTTACATAAATTATTGACTTGTGAATCTGCCAATAACTCACCAATAAGTAGCCATGAATAGATTTTGGTGTGAGTGGTTTGTCATCTACCCCTAATGTATGACCAAAATTCGTTCCTGGGATATGACTTTGATACTGTCCTGTGCGTGAACATGTCCTTTATCACGTGGCCATATAGATATTACTCTGTGCAGGCTTATTAAATACTCAAATAGCGCCATCAATAGATTTTTACAAGTGTGCACACTACTTATTGCTAGGAATGGTTATTGGCAAGTTATTAGCAGGTTCACACCAATAAATGATTTTATACTTATTGTTGGTATAATTTTGGCTGCACTTTAGTTTACGCCCTTTAGCACTTTAGTTTACGCCATTTAGTTTATGTTAGGTTAGGTTAGGTTAGTTTAGAATAGTTTCATTTTATAATCAGCTGGTAGTTAATGTATAAGTTTAAGGTAGGCCTATAACTAGTTGCTCTGCCCGTGCTTCGCTACGGGGTGAGAATGCAGAAAAGAATAATTCGGTTTTACTTTAAGATACTATAATATACTATGAGAAACAGTTACAACACACTTACCAGGAAAAATATAAGCAAAGGCTCAATTCTGCTTATTGATTATTTAAATTAAGATCTCTTAATGTATTAGAGTACTATCATTTTATATAGTGTATAGCATTTAAAATATATGCAAAAGTATAATTCATTGACCACATGGCACCAAGAAACAATTCTCTTTGTAAACAAATTAAATTAAATAGCAGAACAGCATTTCTGACAACAACTGGAGTTTCATAACAATTTTTGTTTCCCATGTTAATCTTATGGAGAAATACGAAACTTTAAAGGGCCCCAGGGCCTCACTCTCTAATTATTTCCCTAAAAAGAAAGTTTCCGGCACAACTTCACGTTACGCTCTTTCCAATGACACCAAAAACATGTCAATCGGTTCAGTAGTTTCGGAGGAGTAATTGTCACAAAAAACCTGCTTGCGTACGGTATTAAATAAGTATAGATTAATAGTAAATGTGGGGCATAAACTAAAGTGCACCCATAATTTCAAACATCTTGGTACATCAGTGATGTACCAAAAACGAAGGGGTGAAGGGTTAGGGAGAAAGTACTTCCCAGAACCCAGTGTTCCTAGAAAATGTTTTTTTTTAATTACTTACCAACCCATTCAGGCAATCGTAAGGCCCCATTGAGGATACAAGTTTTTTTGTTAAACTAGGCTAACCTATTTTTTTACTTTATTGCAACCTATTTCAAGTTAACCCTCGAGGAGGCGCTTCACCAGTAAAACGGGAGCGGGCGCATGCAGAGTTTTATCCCGCAAAACTAAATAGCATAAATTTTACCCATTTTCCTTGTTGTTATAACGAAGTATTATATGTAAGTGTTGAATAACCTAATCAGAAACCTAATTTCTTTGGTAATAACATTATTTGTTTAACTTAATATGAGTAATATTTCAAATAAACATATTGAGCAATTTTCTAGTATAAAGGTATGTTACGAGAGAGGGCGCTTGCGGAGTTTTGTTCCGCAATAATGCAGTTATACATATACATGCAAACAAAATATACAGGGTGTATATAAAGTCCCGCACGGGCTTAATATTTTCTAAACGACAACAGATAAATCAATAAGATTTGGTACATCAACACCACACCTAAAAATCTACTGTTTCAAGGAACTATCAATTTTCTGTCATATCATGGGGACGTCCCACAAGGAGTCAGAAGGAAATCTTAAATAGAAGCATAGGTTGGCATGTACATCAAATTAAAGGTCTTTACTAGCAGAATATAATGCCGCAAATTTGAACTCAAACGGACAACCGAGCCAATAATGACAGTTGTTCAAAGATTAATTGAGCGGAGTGAGCGAAGTGAGCGAAGCTCTTATACAATACTCTTGCTTTTGTTTTACAAATACTCCTCCTGAACGGCTGAAGCGATCTGCACGAAACTTAACACAGTTAGAGTACCCAACCATGGGAAGGTATAAATCTGAAATGGTACAAATCGGGCCACAGGACTCTTAACATGGGCCTTATGGGCTAATTGGTCACCACGACATTATTTGCGAGTTAACACTAAAAAGTAAACAAGAGCCTCGACATGTGTTAGTCAACAAATCTACCACATTATAGATACAGTACAAAAGAAAAAAATCGGATGAATACTAAAGAGCACATTAGTCTATTACAAATTAATTAACAATTAGTTCTATATTGAGTGATTAAAATCATGCCGTTTATATTTAATTGTATAATCATTCTGTTCTTTTTAACAACAATGAATAGTCAACTAATTAGGCCTAAGCGTATGTTGCGTGGAGAGGAGAAGATAAAACGAGGTCATAAAAAAAAAATCTCTACAACATAATTATACCTACAAGAATCACACCGCCCTTGATTTGCAAGTAAATTTGTAAAAGATGTACTTGTAGCTAAAAATACAAAATCATTTTACGAAACGAAATCACAACCACTTGGTTTACAGGTAAGGTTTAAAACTAAGGTAGTTTTACCCCGCTCGCCAGAGAAAGCCAAGAAAGTTCTAGAAGCGGCCGGAGCGCAGTGGAGCTAGAACGGAGTGGAAAGTTCCAGAACACCCCCACCACCATCAAGAGGGTATATAACCTACGAGCCCGGCCCACCCGTGCCAGTCGAGTTCTGTGACTACGGTGATAGTGCTCGCTCGCCCTGAAGAT